TACCGTGACTACTAATTATGTTGTTTTTGTTTTCTCCTTGACCCTATATCTGTCATGGAACAATAACTAATACATGTTCCATCTTTCACTAATATGTATTTTTCAGACCTTAAAATTATTAAATACTAGTACTTAATCATTAGATAGTAGTACTTACTTTATACTCATACATATTAAATACATTCTAGCTTTTAATACATACTTTTATTTATTATATAAAATTATATATTAATTAGAGACTAGTATACGTGTAACTGATGTATGCTGGCAATGGAGTTGTGGATCCACATGCAGTTTTATTAACAAATAATAGTCAGGCAGGCAATTGTCAAAACAGGAGCAGAACCAAAAAGGTAATCCAAAATCATAATCTGAAAGAAGCAAATGGTCAGGCTAGGCAGCAAAGAATCAATAACAGGGAAAATAAGGCAAGGATTGAGACACAGAATGACTAGACAGGATTTACGATATTTGTAATGCTACAGTATAACCAAACAACACTCAGCCCAGTGTGTGTGTGTGTGTGTGTGTGAGTATGTGTGTTTGTGTGTGTGTGTGTGCTGTACATAAGATCCATGTAATCAGTCCTTGAGCAGCTCCCAGCTATGTGTGTGTGTGTGTGTGTGTGTGTAATCAAAGGAAAACTGGAGCAGGTGTGTGTGTGAGGTGCATGACAGGATTTGTAATTCTTAGGGAGACAGGATTGTAATCTGTGTGATAGTAAATGTTCTCCAGCAATCCATAAGGGTTAGATCGCTGGTGACCGTGACAATACCATTTTCAGACCAGAACTTGTTTTATAATTACTACTTGCTGCGGTTCACCAGTAACTTACTTTAAATCATTAAAATCACTGTATTTAGATTTACAGCACTATTCATCTTGCTGTATATGTATTTACAGTATTGTGAATCTTTACTGTAAAATATAGTCATTTTCACAACTTTAAAGGTGCAGTAGGTGATCAGCCAAAATGCTAATCGGTTAGCAAATTAGCTTTGGACGGCAGGGGAGGGACTGTGTTTCAAAGCCTCGACTCCTGAAATCGCAAACACGCGTACTGCGACATAACAGCAGACAACCCATTATCTCATGTCATTCGCCAGTTAGAAGTGTATGTAGTGGTTGGCCCGGCCGTGTGTAGGAATTTTACTTATTACTAAACCACACTTACATGCTATTTCAGAGCGAATATTCAGAGTAGCATGGTGAACTATATCGGGAGCGCGTCACAGGCTGTCATTGTTCAGAAATGACCCAATGTAAATATAAAAGCAACTTTAGCACAGTAAAACTAAACTAAACATAAATCTACATTACCGATGCTGTAAAAGGGCATTATGCAACTGAAAATAGTCACATCAATCTTTCGCCGGAAGATTTCAGTGACTCAACAACACTTCCGTGCATATAACATTTATAACAACATCTGCATCAGCTCAGCGTAAAACTAAAATAGTTTTAAAACAGAACATTACCTGTCTAACAGAAATACTTCAGCCATGGTGTCGCCCTTCCTTTAGTGTGCAAAAGTAGCTCCAATATTGATTCAGGAGTTTAAAAAGTTAAAAATTCAAAATTTGATTTTGCCGCGAATGTGACTGTGTCATGTGCACATGTCGTGAACACGCATCGCTCATCTAAGCGTGCACACTCTAATAGCGGATATGCGTGAACAGATGCGCAAAAGCCCAAATCTGCATTTGTTGACAGACAGTTGGAGATACTTATCAGAATTATAGGAGATGTCGGCCGTGACAATATTTTAGTTTTTTTAGTAACATTTACAATACCAAGTGACTGTGAAGAGATTTTCAATCAGCACAAAAAAAATGTTTCTGAAGACAATCACCTACTGCACCTTTAAATATATACAGTAACATACAGCATAACTGTCCTACAGTAAAATACGCTTCATATTACAGTGAAATACTGTGTAATTTACAAAAATCATTTACATTGTAATGAATAAGCACGAGTAGCTAATGCATAAGCATTAGTACATAATAAATATAAACTAGTAGATAATAAAAGCTAGTTCTTAATGGATAATAAATACAAAATAGCATAAGATAGACCCTTTCACAGATTAAATTAACAGTTAACATATGCTACAGCATTATATCAGTGTTCTCTGTGCCTAGTGGTGTCTTTTACTTTTCACTATGAATAATTGACTCTCCATTTACAAAACATCTCTCAAGGAACCTGAGGACCCGTTTTTAAAGCAGTTCAATATAATAGTTCTCCATTTTTTGGCTTTCGGTTTTATTTGTAATATGGTTATGCAGTACAGTATGTATGGACAGAAGCATATCAAGTGAAAGGAGGAGAACACACTACACATGAAAATGAATTAGACTGCACTAAAGTCAAGAATGGCAGTAAAAGGTCACTTGATCGTCTTTTACAAAAGCTGAATTTAGAGTAGCATAGGTTTTTGCATTAGTGATGAGCCGTTCAATTACTTTGACATTGATCTTTGAATCTTTTTGTAGCTAAATGTATTTTTTTTATCCCGTATGTTGTGATATTGGTCTTGTAGGACTGTTTTGTATGTTTTAACAGACTTTTTATGTTAATATAATATTTAAGATTTAATTTCAAGCAAGTGTTTATTTATTTAGCTGGTGCTCATAGATGCTCAGCATATGTATACTTTTGTGTGTGTGTGTGTGTGTGTGTGTGTGCTTGATAGGATATTTTATGCCTTCTTTATACTTGCCAAATTTTCTTCTTTTTTTTTTTTTAATTACACATTTTGGCCTTCCTCCGTTTTGTCCTAGATAATGGAAAATAGCTGCATTGGGCTGTAGCCAAGATGCACAGACTTTAAATTTTGGTATAGTATGCTGCAATGCCATGACTTTAGTACTGCCTGTATAACCACAAATTAACACAAAAGGAAATACTTGATTTAACAATCGAGCACTCTCCAGTCCTAATGCATCCTTGCAATTTAAAGCATTCTCAGTGTACTAACGGTGACCTCAGTGAGTCCATCAAGTGTTCATATTTGACCAAACATGTCCTATCAGGGGCTCATTGCTGTCAGTGTTGTCATGATGGAGGGGTTTGACCTCCAGCAGCCCAGCACAAGATCCCAGATCAGAGCTTTCTCAGAGCTGAACCGCTGGCTATACGAGCACAGGGGACAGAAACACTCCGCTTGGACACATTCCAGAGAGAATAGATGGCACATTGCTTTTAACAGCATTAGCATTCACCATTGCTGTATATAATTTAGTGCTCTTACTCTGAAAAAAATGGACAGGAAGAGGACGTGTCAGGGAGAACATCTCTAGTTTTTCATCTAGAGACTCTGCTTTCCATCGTGTCTGGGTTCTGTGAGCAGAGAAATATTATTTTACTAGTTCATTTAGTTTCAATTATAATTTCTGAGCCATTTGATAAGAATCTTTGTTGTAATCATGCCTCTTGGTTTGTCTTATGTTTCTGCATTGGTAATGTACATATACATATATAATGATATATACTAATTTTTATGTCAGGCTCCTATAACCATATAAAAGGCTTCTAAATGAATTTAATAAAAACGGTAACTATGGCTTAATAGCTCACAATTCTTTTCTTTTTTCTAACAAGTTTCTCACCATTCAGTATTTATCTTTGAAATGACTACTAACTAGCAAATATTGTAATACAAGATTACTTTGGTTCCTAGAACATTCTAGAAAAACTTGGGAAGGGTTAGTGTTTGTTTACCAATAAATCAACCTACAGGGAACATTCTTAATGGTTAAAAAACAACAACAACAACATTATATTACTACTTCATTACGTTTCAGTTGTAATTTCGGAGCCATTTTATAAAATGTCATGTATTGTAGTAATCTAACCTCTATGTTTCTGCATTGGTATAATGTTCTAATGTATACAAAATTTTATGTCAGGGCAGTCAGGCTCCTACCTAAGCCATACAGAAGGCAATTTCTGCCACTGTTTGAAATAAATAAAACTAATAACTATGACTTTTTATCTCACAATTATCTCCATTTCAGTTTTTATCTCTGAAATGACCCCCAAAAAAGGTTAGCGGCCATTTTTCTTATAATTCTTTAACATACATACACACACACACTAAAATAAATGAACACACAACAATAACAAAAACATTTGCACACAACAAATAAAAATTATGAGAAAATAGTCACAAACAATGTTTGTTTCCCAGAACATTCCAGAAAAAAATTGTTTGTGTTTTTCGGAATGTTTCCTGTCGGTTCAGGAAGGGTTTCATTATGTAAATAGTTTAAATTGTTACAAAAAGAAAAGGAAAAACTACTTAAAAATATTTGGGAAGGTTCGTTTTTGGTTGCAAATAAAACAAACCTACAGAGAACATTCTTGTTTAGTTAAAAAAACAAAAACAAATGTGAACCAAACTGGAACCATATGGGAAAATTAGCGAATGTTCTGTGTTACATGGGTTGCCCTAACATTATTTTTTGTTTCCTGGTTATTTTTAAAGAACCAAAAATAACATTAGGGGAACAATCTCTTTGGGTTTTTAGATTTTGAATCCTCAGAATAATATTTTCTGCATGTTACAGGGTTGTTGTGATTATTAAATAACCATATACATATAGTTACATGTACAGATTTTCTCTGATGCTCCCTTTTAGGTTATCATTTTGCAACAAATTTTGATAAAAAAAAAAACTAACAGATTTTTTGTTCAGTAAATGTTTCTTAAATCATTTACATTTATTTTATAATATTCATAACCTGTTACTTAAGCTAAAAACAAACTTTTAGTTAAAACACTTAGTTTTTTAGTGAAAAATATTATCTTACACATTTGTTTATGTCTGTGAAGCCATCTACACTACTGTATGCTGTGCTGATGTAATTATATCTTATATAATACTGCCTCCTTCTGGACACAGTGGCTATTGTTGTACGAATTGCTGAGAAAAAGAAATAATTTTAAATGTATTTTAGCATTCCCTTGACATGTTTCTCTCCTTTCTGTTTAGAAATTGTACTGTCGAGTGCCTGCAACCCATGAGCCGAGTGTTAGGAGAAACCACAGTTCAATCTCTCCATGTCCTGTCGTCCTCTCTGCTCTCTTCTAATGTAAGAAATCAGTTTTTCTACAAATAATCCAAATGTTTGTGCTGTTATACCAGTTTTTTTTTTAAAGCTACAATGGTTTTTGATTGTTTTGCTGCTGTAAACAGTATCTGTCTCTTTTTAGATATGGAAATTAAGTTTCAATAGGACAATTGACTCGCTCTTTTGTTTGTCAGGGTTTGATGGAGATCTGGTCGGATGACAGCTGGAACTGTTGTCATAACCGGAGGAATTCTCGCAACAGTGATACTCCTATGTATCATTGCAGTGCTTTGTTACTGTAGACTCCAGGTGAGCGCTACATATACATTTCACTGCTGGCCTTTTTATGCTGGATAGAAGACCATTGTTAAAGATCATTATGAATTGAATTGAAGACATATATTAGGATGTTGGTCTTAGTTATAGTCATAATACAGCTAATTATATTTGGACTGGGAGAAAGAAACTACAGTAACACGGAATTTTAAAAAAAAATCTAAAATGCTGTTGGAGCATTTCAATGACATTTATGGAAAAAGAAAGATCCGTTTAAAATTATGTATGACCTAGAACACAACACTTCAATAAATGTAAGACTTTTAAGGCTTGAACTTTTGATTTAAATTAATAGAGTAAGATCTACTGTAACCTCAAGTTTAATAATGTTAAATACTTAAGCTCAAAAAAATAGTTCAAAGTTAACCTTTTAATCTGAGTGTTGTTTTTAGACTGCCTTGAGATGCTGCAAAGGACACAATGCACAAGTGCAATGGTCAAATGCTTCCATCAAACATTTTTATGAAAAACAGTAGAATACCAGCAGTGATATACAAAAATGTGATTTAACTTGAAGATAATTTTAATGTTTTAGAAAGATTTTTAGCAGAAATCATGGTTTGATGATTAGTAAAAGCAATGCTACCAGCACTTGAGAGTCCAACAAATTAATACCTGTGGCTCCATGTGTTACACTGAGATCTAATAAAGTGAAACCTCGATAAGTTGTTCTGAATGCATTTATTGGAGTTTGATGAGGCTGTAGATTTAAGACAATGATTTTGTACAACAAAAATGTTCAGTTTCTTGCACGGACCAATCAATTGCTTTATAAGACCCTAGTGCAGTATTGGGAGCCACTGTGAACAACCAAGACCAGTTGTTTCACTTCATTAGATCTCAGTGTAAAAGAAGGAGCCGCAGGTATTAATTTTTTGGACTTTCAAGTGCTGGTAGCATTGCATTTTATTAATATTGTTGTGAAGTATCCCTTATAGACTTTTTACCCAATATAATTGGCAACATGCTAATTCCTTACATCATTTTAAATTACACTAAAGCAATAAAAATAGTACGGGTGGAACGTTGACTCTGGTTCGAGTCCCAACTGTTTGCCTGTTCTTCCCATGTTTGCATGGGTTTCTTCCAGGTGCCCCGGTTTCCCCCACAACCCAAAGACATACATTATAAGTGAATTTAATAAACTAAATTGACAGTAGTGTATGTGAGATTGTACAGGTGTTTCCCAGTACTGGGTTGTGGCTGGAAGGACATGTGCAGGGTGAAACATATGTTGGAATAGTTGGAGGTTTATTCCACTGTGGCGACCTCTGATAAATCAGAGACTAAGCCGAAAAAAAATGAATGAATAAATAGTAAAACATGACTGAATACATCATCTATTCCCTCCCTCCATGTCAAATTTGCAACTCTCTGATTAAACAATTAGCAATACATTAGGGCTGGGCGATCAATCGAAAAGTAATCAAAATCGACATTCAGAACCTATAATCGATCACATTTTTCCAGGATGATTTTTCAATTACTTAATTTACTGCGTGTGGAGTCACATGACCCCACTGAGGCTGATTTATACTTCTGTAGCCACTTTGCAGCCTCATTTGATCTCTGGTCATATAGGATAATGGACCAATTCTTGAGCCTTACTTTGCACTACATTTAGAGGGGATGCTGCTTATTTTCTACTTTTAATATAAAGAAACATTGAAAATAATTTGTTTCCAAAAGTGCAAGTTTTTTTTTTTTTTTCAGTTTTTATAACAAAAAAGTGACTGTTGGTTTTAGACAGTGTGTGTTTTAATTTCAGCTGCTCAACCCTGATGTTCAATAAATAATCATAGATAGTAGATAGTCTGTGTTTACTTCAGTTATTTAAAAATTAAGTAATGCACCCTTCATTCAAAAATGTCTCACTTGCAATATGTGAGCTATCTACTGTACAAAATTTGATTTTAGGCCATATCACCCAGCCCTACAATACATTTGCAGAAATAAAGGGATAGTTCTCCCAAAAATGAAAATTTTACTCTCACTTTACTCACCCTCAAGCGATTACAAACATTTGAGTTTCTGTCTTCTATTGAATACAAAAAAAGATATTGTGAAGAAAGCTGAAAACCATTGACATCCATAGCAGAAAAAACAATTATTATGGAAAGTCAGTGGTTACAGGTTTCAAGCTTTCTTCAGAATGCCTTCTTTTGTGTTCAACAGAGAAAAAAGAAACTCAAACAGGTTTTGGAACAAGTAAAGGGTGTGTAAATGTAATTGAACAACCCCTTTTAACACTTGCAGTATGATTTTGACTCAACTAAAAAAAGTGCAATCTTAAAGCAGACTTGATTTCATGCAATTCAAAAACAGCTAGTCTGAAAACCCATAGGGAAATACTGCATTCCATTTTTGCCTTCTCTACACTTCTTATCCCTAAAAATGAAACCATGACTCTTTTATTAATGTAGCCTGTTACTCAACAACTTGACGAAGATCTGTCTTGAAGCTCCATACTCTGATATAGTCTCTCCTAACCATCCTTCATCCTAGTATTACTGCTGTAAGAGGAATGAGTCAGAAGGGGAGGCGGGTTCGGTCGGAGATCCTCAACCACAGTTCGCCTGTAACGCATACAGTGCTCCGGGAGTGGACGGGGCGGCCGTTACACCTCTGTCCCTACCTTACGACCCCGCTCAGCCACACAGCTACTGCCCCACATGCTCACCCTACTACCTCCGCAGCTCGGATGAGATGCGAAACGGCGGCGAGCGTCTGTCTTACATGCCCACTCACTATGAGAACCACGGCGCTACTGCCCTTGGTCTGGCCGCTATGTACGGCCCCGTGCTGAGCCATCGCAGTACACCCGACTTTTACACCAATACACGAGCCATCAGCACTGACGTCTGATCCTCTCAGACCAGGAGATGGACCCCGGGGACAGAGCTTCTTCTGTGGACAAGAGCACTTGAGGCCGTGCCATCTCCATAAGCCAAGACCTACAGGATGGCATGTTATTTTTACAGTACACACGGGTCTACGGCCAGTCTTCCATCATCTTTTTTTATTTACAGTACCTACTGTTTACCTCTTCCTTTTGCACATATCTCTTTTCCTCTTCTGTGAGGATGTGTGCGAAATGACAAAGTGTTTATTGGGGCTCCTGGCCTTTTGAAATATAGGAACTAAAGGTGGAAGAGTCAGGTAAATAGTATATGTTCAGTTTAGAAAAGATGCTGTAAAAAATGCTGGGTTTCACTCAAACGATTTATGTAGGTACAACATGAAGGAATTAAGTTGACTTAATAGTTTTTACAAATTTAAGTGAACTGAACATGAAACAATTAATCCAGCAGGTACACAACATCATGAGACGCTAATATTAGGTAAGATTTAGATTATGACGTCAGGAGACCATCTAAGGACAACGTTATTTTGACATCTAATAACGACATCAAATTACGTTGATATTTTGTTGATTTTAGGTGGTGTTGGAAAATGATCAAATTCCAACGTCTGATAGAAGTCATAGTGGTAATGTCCCCACAAAGTCAAGGTGTAACATGATTAGGCGTTCATATTTGGTTGATTTTAGGTTGGACATTGATGTCAGCCTGACATTGGGTTCTGACGTCAATCCGTTTTTTTTTCCAAAACAAAATCCAACATCCCCACGACCTTGGGATAGAACATCAATAGGACATAACTATGATGTCCCGTGCCTGCAGGAAAGTTGTCTCCAAAAAACCATCAAGAATTTTATCGTTTCAGCTCATTTTTAGAAGAAACAGCAAGCTATTTTAAGTGTATGAAATGGAGCAGATGAAGGAAGCTTTTTAGGCTCATCTCAAAAGTTTTTTTATGGTGACATAAAAGACAAACATTCCACACAAGTTTTAATAGCTTTAAATAAAGTATCTTTGTTGGAAAGAGCATGACTTTCAGCTTTATCTTAATATCCCTGATATGCTACATTTGTTTATGTTGAAACACCTATTTTAGGATGGGAAATTAACCAAAATGTGATCGTCTTCCTGTATGTCGGTGTGTTGGGAAAATGTCAAATGAATTACTGACGATGAATATATTGGTCAATTCATAGTTGAGTATTTGTCACATCATGTGAAATTCACAATGGCACAGAGTGAGATGTTTGATGAAATATATAGTATGATTGAGGTTGGAGTGATATATTGTTCATTCTCACGTATTTCTTTGTCCATATCCACCACATTATAATTATCAGCTTTTTAAGGTACACTGTAAAACCCAACAGTCAACTTTATCAATTGAAATGAGTGTAGTTAACTTAAAATTGACTGAAAGTTAATTCTACTCATTTGAAAAGAGTTTTGAACTCAGTGTTGAAGGTAATGAGTTAATTAAATACCTCATTACTTCAACTTAAATAGAGTAAGGTCACACTATTCATATAGATTAGTTTTTAACTCAAATGATTTGTAGCGATCGGTTTCCTTGACATTTTGAGTTGCCTTAACCTATCAGGTTTTACAGTACTCACTTGGTGTTCTCTTCATATTTTGGGTTTTACTGAGCTCAAATTGCTTTGTTTATTCAAATGGATTCACAGTAATCATTAGGGTTTGTTTTTGAACCTAAATAGTTTGTTGCAATCGGTTTCCTCAAATAATTTGAGTTACCTTAACTTTTTGGGTTTTACAGTGTAGCATTTCAGTGCAGTTGCTTTGTTGATTTCCAGTGTTGTATAATTGTCAAATTTATATGCAACATTTTTTGCTCTTCTTGAGCAAATGACTGGATAAATTGGAAAACATTCTCGTCCCTGTTTATGATACAACAATTTTTCCTTGTTTTTGCAAATGTGTTTATGTAAATGATTATATTTTCTCTCATATTTGTTTTAGTATCGATTGGTTTATGAATTGTGATGTCTATATTCACTCTTTGTTTGTAACTGGATCGCATTACTATACACAGGATGGCACTTCTATTTTACTTATGAAAACTTTTGGTGATTATGTAAAAAAATCTGGTGATTATGTAAAAAAATATCTGGAAGTATATCAGTCTATGGTTTAAAATATTGAAGAAAAAAAAAAGAGTAGCCTATTGTCCACCTATTTCACAGAATGCTTTTGAATATAAATGAAGCATTTATAAATGCCTGTAGACTTTTATAAAATTGGTCAATTGTGATCAGAGTAATAAAAGCCATTTCACATCTATACGAATATCTGTATATAAAGATCAAATTATTTCAATGCTTGAAATGTTTCCTGTCAAGTCAAGTGTATCCGTTTCTGTATCTTGTAGCTGACTGCAAATGCTTCTGTCTCCTTTAAGTGTGTTTTTCCCTCCATATCCCTGTTGAAAACACAAAAAAAATCCAGTTTAAACCAGCATGAATTCCACGTTGGTTCAAACTGGTTAACAAGCTAGACTGACCTGGCCTAAGCATGCAAAACATGCTTTATATATATATATATATATATATATATATATATATATATATATATATATATATATATATTGTTTGAAAACATGACCCACTGGCAGGTCATTTATGGGTTACGTCAAATAAAACAAAGCTTTTTTGTAAAATGTAAACAGTAAATAAGTATTTTTAATCATTAAAACAATGAAATCAATTTTATTCTAAAAAATAATAATAAAAAGGTTTAGTTCTTTGATTAAAAGCTACCGTCAGTACATAGTTGACTCATGTCTCAATCTATCTCTGAATGTGCATTGCAGTGTGATTTTTCTATTTACATATTTAATCCACATCAGAATAATACTGTTAAATGGTTTTGTGATGTTAGCTTGAAAGACAGACAGTATAATGCTTTTAAATTCTTGAAATTACAGTAAAACAGCATATTTTGCAATATAATTGCAAAATCACTTTCCTTCAGCCTAGTCCCTGATTTATCAGTGCTCATTTGGAATAACAATTTACAATGTTTGTTTTCTATTGTAAGACAGTTAAAAGGTAATTTATTTTATAATTGTTTTTTTTATACATTATTAAACTGCTCAAGAGATAAGCATTAATATTACTATTATAATTGTTATTAAGCTCAAACAATAGCATGTGGCATTATCCATAGGTTTGATTCTCATGTAAAGCATAAACTGATTAAACATTGGTAAAGTTTTGGATGTTCTCAAACTATCTTTGAAATTGCTTTTTTTTTTAAACAACATGTACAGCTGTACTGTCTCTTTTGATCATTTATTCCCTAAATTTTTAGGGATATATTCTATTGTCTGGCACCAAACTAAATGGTAATGTCCAATGCCACTGTTTAAGTCAGTCTCTCTTTGCAGCCTTTTCTTTCACTTTGACATTGAAGAGCACTGAAGACGTTTGACAGATCAGGGAGTGTCGAGCAGGGCTGGGACTGCATTCTCTCCATATAATGTGTTAAACTACTTGAAGGACCAGTTTAAGATCTTGTTAAACTAATAGCTGTTTCATGTATCTGATTTGCATTGTAGCTCAACAGATGTTAAAGAATTTCTCTCTCAGCATGATAAAGCTTTCCACTGACTCACTATGAGTTTTCAGCCATAACAAACAGCACACTTAACAAACAGACGTGAGAGCCACTCCCAGCCCTACAGAGCTTCACGTTTGTTTGTTTGTTTGTTTCACAGGATCATGACGAAACCTTAAGACTGAGGTGGCACCTCCTCCAATATAAGGACCTTTAAACACTTTTGATAACCTTTGCTGTTTGTCTTTATTGCTCTTTTCTCCTCCCTCTATTTAATTACTAATAACATCCACCTCTCCAACTTTTGAACACATTTCTCTTTCTCTTTATTGCTCTGCGTTAGCTTGGCTTTGTTCACATTAATGACCACACACTCTTAATAATAAAGGTGTCAGGTAGATAGTTCACCTAAAGCTTAAAAATCTGACATCATCTACTCTCCTTTTACATATTTTAAACCAGTTGGAGTTCATTTCTTCTGTTGAAAACACACACACACACACACACACACACACACACACACAGACACACACAGACACACACACACACACACACACACACACACACACACACACACACACACACACACACACACACTTACGGAAGAACAAACTCAGGAGACCTCGAGAACACAGATTGCGTCCTGTGAGAAATGAGATGCTGAGTTCTTCCCTGGTTCTTCGCATTTTTAAATGAAAATTTCTTTAAACATTACAGCATTCATACAACCATTTATTGTTTTTTCCATTTTCAATATATATATGCTTTGTATAACGACCTTATAAATATACATTGCATAATACAAATAAAAGTAATTTTAATAGGAATTTCAGCAAATAAACCCTCTTTAATGTGTTTATGCATTTATAAAGATTTTCATGGTCATGTTTACTTCAACCGTCTCATTTAGGGAAACTCCTGAGACAAATAAGTTATATCTCTGAACTTTAATAATAACTCTTTATAAATGCTGTGCTTCCCACCTCCTTTATACAGCCGCAATGACTTCTGGGACTCCTCGAGCGAGTTTTGTGCTCAAGTCTGCATCGATGAGTCCTCGATATCAAGAACACATCCCAGAACATTCACGCGCCCTCAGTTCTTGAGTTTTGGAACTGAACTTTGGCAGTTATTGATGATATTACATGAGAACGCAAGAACACTGAAGAACGCATATTGAGAAACAGCTAATGTTTACAGATTTCTTGAGGTTGAGTAGTAAGTAAATATTCATTTTTGGGGAACTGTGCCTTTAAGTTTTTATTTGTTCCTAAAATGTAATAATCTAAAGAACCATTTTCACCATATAAAGAACTTTTTGTTGAATGAAATGGATGTTGAAGGTTCTTCATAGAACCATCACTCCCACTAGAGAACCTTTATTTATAAGAGTGCAGATTAACTCTGTGTTTTATCAGATTACTGTAATGAACTCCTCACTGGCCTTCCCAAAAAGACTGTCAGACAGTTGCAGCTCATCTAAAACGCTGCGGCCAGAATTCTGACCAGAACCAGAAAATCCGAGCACATCACACCTGTCCTCAGGTCTTTACACTGGCTTCCAGTTACACTGAGAATAGATTTTAGAGTATTATTACTTGTCTATAAATCACTAAAGGCCTAGGATCTCAATACATTACAGATATGCTCACTGAATACAAACCTAACAGATCACTCAAAACATTAGGATCAAGTAAATGAGAAATTCCAAGAGTTCTGTCAAAGCAGGGTGAATCTGCCTTCAGTTACTACACCCCTCGCTGCTGGAATCAGCTTCCAGAAATGATTTGATGTGCTCCAACATTAGGCACATTCAAATCAAGACTGAAAACACATCTGTTTAGCTGTGCCTTTACTGAATGAGCACTGTGCTGCGTCCTACAGATCGCACTATTATGCCTTTCTTTTCTTTCTTTTTTAAATTACTTTTATTATTTGTTTTCATTTTCTTATACTTGTATATTTTATTGCTGATTATGTAATGCACCTTGAATCTCCACTGTGTATGAAATTTGCTATATAAATAAACTTGCCTTGCCTTACATACAAAGAAGTAAAAAACATTAAAAAAATACATCAATTCTGATGAATAATATCTGCACTATACCTCCCTGTAGCTGCGGTGAGATGATAAAAGCAGTTTTTTTTCACCGTCAATCCCGCTGAACATATAGCACAGTCAGATATAAGCAGCTTAAGGAGTGCAGGAATGTACTGGCACCTTCTTTTCCAGGGCAAACCACAGTGTTTTGTGTGAGCAGTGACCTACAGGATTACAGCAAGAATTTCAATTTCACAGTCTTTAGCCTCACAGGCAGGCTAGGAAACTCCTAATGTTGATGGTGAAAGCTCTTCTGGGAGATCTATCTGTCCTGGAACCAGCTTGTGTTGTTAATTGTTAACTTAGTTCTCCTAAAAGAAGCTTTTGAGATTGTGGTTGGTGAAATAACGCATGAGGAGCAATTGGAAGGCTATGAAGTTTTGATACCTGCTTTTTATGTAAGTGAGAAAACAATAAAAGGACAAAGGTGGACTGAAGTGAAACTCCTCCCTGAGTCAGGGCAGGGTTTGCATTACGGCAGGCAGTTATAGACTGCTGCCTGTCAAACCTGTTGTCATTTCTCTAGTCGCCTAAGCTGTATTTCGAGATCACTTGTGCTCTGCTCACCTGCCAAAATGATGGAAGAAGTGTCTATCGCTGTGGCCTATGATTCCCATATTATTGACCAGATGTCTGAGGAGGAGATCCTGGCGAGTCTGGTAGTGGAGTCTCTGCCAAAACAAGTGGTAAGTTCAGAATCAACACACTTTGAACCCATGTTTATCACATGTTGATTTATAACTGGCATGTTGGGAATGTTTTAATGGTGTAGTGTGACAGCGTGTTTAATTTGATGCTACAACTATTCCGATTTTTAGCACATTATTGAGCTTTTATGATTCAGATACTTAAATATCCACAATATGAGAATATATCTCAACTCTATATGTATATCTATGTGATAGAATTGTAAACAAATAATAATAATATTGATTTAATTAGTACAAATAATTTTTATGTATTAATAAATGTTTACTTCAGACACACACACACGGATATAAACATATCAAACATATATGTATATATATATATATATATATATATATATATATATATATATATATATATATATATATATATATATTTATATATATATATATACAGACACACACACACACACACACACACACACAATCTTTTAAATTAGAATTTGCCAGGGGTATGAATAATTTCAGGCTTGACTGTATATAAAATAAAAAGTAACTGAAAAAGGAAATGCTAACAGTGTTGCCAGATGGAGCAGTTTTGAATTTGATTTAATGTAAAAAAAAATTGAAAAAAAAAAAAACGAAATTGGCGGGTTGACAAAATTTGGGTGGTTTTGAAACGTAAATTTTATATGCAACTTATTTAACAAAACATAACTGTGTGCTCCTACTCCATTTAGTGACCAATGCATAGCACAAATCGCATGGGTCCATCCACAAGATGAGAAGAAAAGTTGTATCAAAATCTGACTCTTTGGACAAATCCAGCTCCCATTCATGTGCACGCGCATCATGCAGCGCCTGCAGTTAAAATCAAAGCAGATTATCATGACACTTATCGATCTTTTTTTCCGCAATTGACATCAAGAACGAACATAAAGCGTTGTCTGCTTGACAAGCAGCAACCAATTATGTTCAAAAGAATTTAAAACGCCAAATAGGACAAATTTACACCCCATGTGTGGGTGAGAGGGGGTAATGTTTCAATGTAATGCGGTTTTGTTGTGGTTCTGTGACTGCTGGTGTTTGTTGTTGTATGGTTACATTTCTGACAGTTAAAGCAACTAGGTTAAAGTAATTTTTGATCATTTTAAAATTAATTAAAAGATTCATTCAATATTTTGGCCATTTTTTGTGCATTTGAGCAGGTTTTGGACAGCTTTTGGGCTGGAAAAGTCCGCTATATCTGGCATGATTGCTAATAGTATCACAAATAAATTTTTGAGCATGTTTTAGTGCTTACTGATTTAAATATTTAATAAAATAATTATAAATAATACAATTGTACTGATGCTAATGTCAAACTAAATATAATCAATACAAATAAAATGTTACAGTATACATTCCTTGCATATTTTGCACACCTTGATCTATAATGATTTCTTTGAATACTTTGACAGGTGCCATCTAAAAAGCAAAAATTAAGAGATAACCAAGAACAACCAGAAGATCCACTTGACAAATATGAGGTAAGAGAACACACCCTGCCAAAACAAAGCATTTCTGTCTTCCTCTGCAACACACAACTCTTTTCAACTTTCACACTTTGTGAACTCCATCGTGTCACACATAGATTTGTGAAATGAAAAAAAGTGTTTTCATTCCAGAGAGAAAACCGCAAGCTGCAGGAGACCAGTTTGCGTCTGGAGCAGGAGAACGACGACCTTGCACAAAAACTTGTAACAAGCAAGATTGCATTGAGGAATGCTTTAGATCAGGTCTGCCAAATTGTCATGCATGTCAAGTGCAACCGTTTCATTTTCAGTTTGATTTGCTGTGAATGTTTACAGACGCGCTGTATATTTACAGACCGAGGACCAAGTGGATGAATTGACCAAGGAGCTTTCAAAAGTCAAACAGCTTCTTGTGGTAACAGAGGAGGAGAAGCGAGGAAAAGAGGAGGAGGCTTCACAGGTGAGCTTGAACATCATTGAAGTGTCAGAAAAGTATTTGAAGGAGAATCTCTCATTGTCTGAATCACTGATGTGCTCCACAGCTCAAAGAGATGTTCAGGAAAGAGCTGGACAAAGCAGAATCCGACATTAAGAGATCAAACAGCATCATCGCCGACTACAAGCAGGTAAACATTCACTTACAACTACAGTAGGGATGGACGGTATGGACTTAAAAAAATATCACAATATTTTCTGGCATTTATTGAGATAATAATAGCGGATGATAATTCTTATGTATCTCCTGAGAGATAAAAGTCCTGCATATTTAGAGAGAAGAATTATCCAATTATCCAACTTTTCCATTTTAACCAATTTGTTAAACTCCTCATATGCATTACAAATGTAAATTCATTCAGCTATTGCAGTGTATAGAGTAAAAAAAAAGATAGAGATGCTTAAATTAATCAAACAAGAGCATAATAAAACCCCACAGTTGTGGTAATGCAAGGCTAGTCAACATAGCCCTTACACCTGTATAGAATATAATATAATATAATTTTATCCTTATTTTGTGATCAGAAACCATGTCTGGTGACAAATTATTATTCATTTTAAACAAATACTTCATAATGTTATTGTATGTCAGAGGCTACCAACCCTGTCCCTGGAGAGCTACCTTCCTGCAGATTTCAGTTGCAATCCTGACCAAACACACCTGTCTGTAATTATCAAATGCTGCTTCAGGTGTGTTTGATCAGTGTTGGAGCTAAATTGTGCAGGAAGGTAGCTCTTCAAGAACAGGGTTGGTGACCTCTGCTATATGGTGTAAAGAGCTTACTGATGGTCACTTATGAAGTGAATTTAGAGCACAGGTGTCAAAGCCAGTTCCTGGAGGATGGCAGCACTGCACAGTTTAGTTTCAACCCTAATTAAACACACCTGATTAAACTAAATAAAGCTGCGGTCACCCTGGACTTTTCTCCACATAGACTTCCATTCATACGCACACAAATGCCTCAGACAGAATCGCAATTTGCTGCATTGCAAAGTTCAAGCTTGGTGAACTCTGACCTGTGAAATCGCATCACTTGACTGCATGAGACCAATTGAGGATCAAAATTAAAAATATGACCTCTTGGGCCAGAAATTTAAAATATTGACCAATCGCTCGCTTTTTTAAATATCTAATAATTTTGTTTAATCCTGCCCCTTTTGCAGTGCCGTACAACAGAATTTCGCACGCACAAACTCTAGTGTGACCGCAGCTTGAGTTCTTCAGGTTTGTTTAAAATCTACAGGTAATGTCATGGTCATACTAGTGTTTTAGCATGCAAAATTCTGCCGTACGGCACTGCGAAAAGAGTTTTGATCTTCGATTAGTCTTATGCAGTCACGTGATGCAATTTCGCAGTTCAGAGTTCACCAAGCTTGAACTTTGCAGCGTTGCGAATTGCGACATTTGTTGCACGAGCTTGCGTTTCCGGTCTGTCGCAATTACATGCGTATAAATGTCAGTCTATGGGGAGAAAAGTACAGTGTGACTGCGGCTTAAGTGTGTTGAAGCAGGGTTGGAACTAAACTGTGCAGAGCTGCCCCTCTCCAGGAACTGGCTTTGACACCAGTGATTTAGAGTAAAAGTATATTTACATTTCTTTGTTCGTAAACAGGCTTATACACATAAAACTATCACACGTGCAGCTGTGGAAAATTATTTATGGCACAAGACCTTGATCATACCACTTCTAGATTGTAGGTTTTATTGTTATTATCATGGGAAGATGGGAGAATTTTTCTGGTCTATCTCAAATGATAACATATCACTCCATCCATGATTATCACTCCACTCTTTCAATAAACAATCTTCCATTTGGTGTCAGCGTTCAGCTCTTTTTTTTTTGCCTCCTTTAGATTTGCTCACAGCTGAACACTAAACTTGAAAACCAGAAAGAAGAAGCAGACAAGAATCTCGCTTTTATCAAGGTAAGACGTAAACTGATCACAAAACCTCCATTCTTACTTGAGTATGTTTCTTGTCGCATTTATGATGTGTGTTATTATTTTAGAGTAAGCTCCAGGAGTGTGAGAGGTGCAGTCGCATCTTCAGTGTGGATGGGTCGATTGAAAGCTGCTCCGAGAGTGAAGACAGATCTGCTCAGGATGAAGCAAAGACCTCTCTCAGAGAACAGGTCAAAGAGCTAGAGAAAGAGCTGGCACAAACAAAGCTACAGATGGTGGAGTCCAAATGTAAAATCCAGGTAAGACAAAAGACGTGGGAATGTGTATGCCAGAATAAATTTTTATATTGTCATTATCAATTTATTCATTATTTAAGTTTTATTTAAATAGATTTTAGTATTAGCCATAATGGCTAGTGTGTGTGTGTGTGTGTAAAAGTAAACAAACAAAAACAAATAAATTTTAAAATAAACACTACTGGTCAAAAGCTTGGGGTCATTTTTTACTGTTTTTTTTAAAGAAAATTATACTGTTCATCAAGGTGACATTTATTAAGTGTAAAAAAAATGTTAAGTATTTATTTTAAAAAATTAAATAACTGCTTTCTTATTTTATGTAGTTCATTCATTTATTTTCTTTTCAGCTTAGTCCCTTTATTAATCCGGGGTCGCCACAGCTGAGTAAACCAGCTAATTTTATCTATTTTCAAATGAAATTATTACTTAAGTCGTTATTGCTTTTATTACTATTACCATTAATAATTTTAATATTAATAATTAATATTAGAGTGATTTCTGAATGATCATGTGACTCTGAAGGCTGAAGTAATGAAGCTGAAAATTCATCATTAAAATGACTGAAATAAATTATTAAATTAAACTACTTTTGAACACTTATTTTATAGTGCTATAACGTTTTACAATTTTACCATTTGTACTGTACTTTTGAGGAAATAAATGCAGCTTTGGTGAGCAGCAGAAGCTTATTTTAAAACATTTAAAAATCATACTGACATCAAACTTTTGACCGGAAGTGTAAAAAATGTCATTTATATATTTATTGGGTTTATTTTACAATAAGGTTCTATTTGGTAGAGTTTTTAATACATTCTTTAAATCATGATTTGTATTATTATGAATAACATTACTTTAAAAGTAGTAACTGTAAATATAGAAATTAATTAAAATGTTAAATATCATCAGTCAGCATTTTAATTTTATTTTTCCTTTTTATTTTTTTATTATATTTATTACACAGTTTACAAACATTACTAAGCTGAAGTTAATTAATACAGATTGCTTAAGTGTTTTCTCTTAGATTTTTGGGCTAATAATTAGATTTCCCATTTTGCTAACTTGTTTACCATCTTGGTGTCCCAAGGAGCTGGAGCACCAAAAAGCAGTTCTGATGACTGAACTTCAAGCTGCTAAAAACACATGGCTCAAAAAAACCCTGGACTCATTCAAGACAGCTGCCAGCGGCCAACAGAGCTCCTCACAGACTGATTCTGCCTGGAGCCCCAATAATAACCCCCAGTCCAGCTGGGTCACCAGACGGTTCTCCTGGGCCCATCGAGAAGCAAGAGCAACCAAAGTATGAAATGGAGAAGTGCGTAGCGTCTAATCGTGGAGAAGAATTTAATGAGAGCACTCGTAATGAGAACACCAACGTTACGCTCTCAGACCAGAGGACATTGCAAATCTTGTAAACACTGGGAATGAAAAGATTTTCAAAACGTCTGCATTTTCGGGGATCGATGCGATGAATACGGTTCTTTTAAAGCACCCTAACACATAGAGACTACCTAAAGTTTTCTAGTGATGTTTTTGGGAAACCAGGTAACGTTATGTGTAAATGGGACGTGTTCCAGTAGTTCACACTTCGCAGAGTAGCTGTATTGACGTCGCGTGTTGTTGAAACGCGAAACACTTCAGGAAGCTGTTATTTCTTTCAACATACCTTGTAATGTTCATTGAAGTTTTTATAGTAAATTGTTTTCACATCCTACTTCATATCCCTCGCGTTCACTGTCACTGCAGCAAGACCATTGAGCAAGACAGTATAACGCAAAACTGAGGTCACAGCAGGTCCCACCTTCACTAACTGCTACCTGATCGATGCTAAAATTTGATTGGGTGGTAATTCTGTTCTTCAAAATATGCTTTGACGTGATTGGCTACTGTTGATTAGCTTATTTTCGTGTAACAGAAAACTGCTAGAGATGAAACTCGAGCGGGTCTGGTGAGTGGTCAGGTCACAGTCACAGATGTCATCCATACTTAACTGGCACAATACATTGTAAATGCATAAATGTGTTTGCTTTTTTCTACAGTTGTATGATGGTCAACAATAAAGATGACATGACAAAAATTTCCTTTGAGTCTTTATTTCTAAATCTTGAAAATTCACTTATTTTTTATTTATTATTTGTCATCAGCAATGAAACAGAAGAAACCTGAAATAATTAACCTTTTAATATAAACCCCATAGGTAACCATAATCCTGAGTGATCTTGCTTATGCATCTCAGCTTGTCATGATTCATCCATTATATTATGGACTGATTTCACAGACAGTTTTAGGCCACAAATAGTTAGAAAAAATTGGCTAAATACTGGTGTATATTTTGAACCAAATAGATGGTATTAACTTTTAAGGTATGACATGTTTCTTTTCCCTCTGTGATTATAAATGATCATTTTTGTATAGGCCAGGGATGCCCAAACACATGCTGTGTCCCAATTTGCATACTATTTGTCCTAAATAGTATTTGAAAATAGAATTAGTATATCCCAAATTGTAGTGTGAAAAGAGTATGTTAAAGGTTCCCAGATGGTTTACTATTTACTAAATTTTTTAAGAAGATTCCATACTCTAACCCAGGGGTTCCCAAACTTTTCAGGCCGCGACCCCCAAAAGGACAATGCCAGTAAGTCGCGACCCCCAATATATTCTGAGGTGGTTATAAATACAGAAACCTTGCATGCAATGGAGCACACACACCAATGGACCCAAGTCTATTCTTCTTTTATTTATTTTTTTAATGTGTGAGAGCTGTAAAAAGGGGAACAAAGTTTTACCAGGTGTTATGAAATCTACTGCATCTGACACTATTGCTGTGTCTTTAATATAATGTAATTACCCCAGGGGTTGCAATCCAATAGAAGTAGTAACTATAAGTTACTATAGTAACTACATGGTATAAACGAATATTTTTTCTCTTCAGTAGGTTATGGATAAAATATGGTAATTCTTATGGTTTAATAAAAATAAATAAATATTTCGAAATCACCAGGTGACCCCCCTTCATTGTCCCGCGACCCCTCGGGGGGTCCCGACCCCCACTTTGAGAACCATTGCTCTAACCTGATATTGCCCACGGTACATTGCGTGTTGGACGTGAATTTGATTAGAACTACAAACATGGGTGAAAAGTCTAAATAAAAAACACGCCGTCAAGTATAGAGGCTTCGGTAGAGATGTTTGTATGACTGTTAATTAATATCTAGCAAACTGGAAAATATTTAAATAGTGTTTTCAGTGTTATATTTTATCTGCAACAACAATGCTGAACTTATATAAAGACGTGTTTGCACATTAAAGTCTGTATGCATAATTATTCAAAGACCTGAGGAGATTTCTCTGCAAGAAAGACTGCATAGTTTAACCTGCTGCTGCTTCTCCAGTAAGGTAGGAAATTAAATATGACAAAAATGTAGATAATGTGTGGATGATTGACAAGGCTCATAATTAAGCAACACAACGGTCTGTTAATGAGGAAGTAGTACAGTATGTGCTAAAGCTTGCATACTCTTCTGTTGCACACTCAAAAGTATGTATTTTCCTTCACAAAAAAGAACATACTTTTAGACCGTAGTATAAGCATGGGAATTGGGACGCAGCATCGGTCATGGAGGGCCGGTGACCGGTGTCCTACAAAGTTTAGTTCCAACCCCAATCAGACACACCTGGAATTCTTGCAGCTGTGTTGAGGCGAGTTGGAGCTAAAATCTGCAGGACACTGGCCCTCCAGGGTAGAGTTTGGACACCCCTGGTATAGATGAATCAACACTTGTAAAAGCTTCAGGTCACACAATAAAAAAGAGAGACTGAGCTCTAAACAGACCTTTCCTCCACACTGTTGAAATTATCAAAATATCCTTCAGCAGCTCTGAGCATCTGAATAAGAGCACTCAGGAGCAGTATGTCAGTTTGAGGGTCTACTTCCAGTTCTTGATAGTAGTTTTTCACTGGGACCACAGCAGACAGAGAAACTCCAAGCCGAGTGCTAACCTCCTGCATCTGTCACAAAACATAATAAAATGAAGCAGAGAATTACTCTAACTACAAATCAACTGAAAATTAAACCACAAACAAGATTTAAAGATGAATGAGATCCTACGATTCTCTGTATGTAGTGACTCTGGTAGATATTTTTCAGGTCTTCTGCCACTAAGGGGCAGGCTTCATCCACCTTAGTCAACAGAACCAACTGAGGAATTCCTGATAAGCAGATCAACACCATAGATGCAATTAAAGTGTATAGTGTAGCTTAATAGTAACTGGTACAAAACATTTCATAAACCTTAAAAATATATATAATGGATCACTCACCCAGCTGGTTGGCTTTCCTCCGAAAAATTGCAAATTTATCAATGATCACATCAGCAATGAGCTTAAATTTGCAGGTGTCGATCACATACACCACACAGTGAATCTTGTCCTTCAAGCCAGGAGCTTTATGGAAATAAGGAGAGTCTGGCTGTATAGGCATCGCTGGGTTAAACTAAGAAAAACGAACAAGCATTAAATCAGTATCCACACATTTTATGTACAGACTGTATCTTCTGTAGAGACCCAGAGGAAACTATGCAAGTATTCAATAATTGTTTTATGATTATTCTTAAATTTACAGTGAAGACAACATCTAACATTGATTTTCCTGGCTTTATCAGCTTGAGTCAAAGACAAAAAGGGGTTTTATGTATTAAAACAGAAAACAGAATATATGCACTAAAATACCCTTCAATGACACCAGAGAACTAATAATAGAGAACTCATCATTTATACTTTGCCTACAAATCACTAGATTTTACCCATCTGTCAGCAAGAAGTTATCAATAAATTAAAGTTCATTACAAATCAGCATGAACAAATTTAAGTAGACACTTCTACAATCTACAGCAGTCAACATTTGATGAAAATCAAAAATGTTTAACAAAATTGTCGTTGTTTAATAGTTTTAGGTCTACTTTGATGAAAGGTGATGATCCACTTCAAATACTGAGCACTGTATATGAAATCACTTTTGTACATTTATATTGACAAATAAAATGGAGGTCCATTTGGACCACTATACATTTTACACAGATTAACAAATTCTCACCTGATAGCGGTCTTGAATGTGACCATTCAGAATACTGGCAATATCGTCTACATGCAGACCAGTGTTCACACCCTCCTCCAAACCCATGGTGTCACACAAAGTGAAGGGAACATGGCGGACAAGGTAGCTTGGCTTTATGCAGTAGGTACGAAACTACATGGAAAATATTTACCTTCATTATTTCCAATACAGAAATACATCACATCATAATTCATCAGGTTTCTTTATACCTGAGTAGTCAAACTGGTTCCAGCAGTGCCTGTGTTGGCCTGCATGCTCACATAACCCTTGAATACAGAGTTGATGGAGTTGAAGAAGCTTGATTTTCCAGCACCAACAGGACCCACCAGCAGAATACGAGCCTGTTTAACTGAGCTCACAGAAGGCTTCCAATTAGGGATGGTGCTCAAGAGTGCCTTCCTTCTCCTGAATTTTTTTTACAGAAAACATTTCCCATATTAAAAATATCCTAAAAGACATTAACATTCAACTGAGCTGAAAACCCTGTTTATTTCACATAACAGCTACACATATAACATTGTACATAGTAATTTAGCTCTACACTTGTCTATTTGTATATTTGCATTCACTACTTAATGCTTTTTATATATTTATTATCTGTTTTTTTTTTGTCCTGTCTTTGTAATTCTGTTGCGCTAGAAGCTCTGTCACGAAAACAAATTCCTCATATGTGCGAACATACCTGGCAATAAAACTCTTTCAGATTTATCAAGCATGGGTTAACTTTTAACGATTTCCTGTAAAATCTACAGTAACTTCGAAAATACTGTATTTACATTTACAGCACCATTTATCTTGCTGTACAGTATGAATTTACCTAATTGTATGTATGTTTTTACTGTAAAATCTATATATTCATTTTTACAATGCAACTTTAAAACACAGTAACATGACTGGGCCAGTTGGCATTTCTGTGTGGAGTTTGCATGTTCTCTCCGTGTTTGAGTGTGTTTCGTTCCGGTTTTTCCTATAAAGCCCAAAGATATGCACTATAAGTGAATTGGGCAAAGCAAAATTAGCCATAGCATATGAGTGCATTTGTAAATTTTGTATCTCGTTTAAATACACATGAGCAGCATCTACGCTAATCATTTTCGTTATTCTCTATTTTCACCTGGGGATACTCATCCTGGGGCCCCTACAGACTATACAGCACCCTAGATGCGATCCAAGACCTGTCAAGAAATTATGCCAAGGTATCCACAATACTGGACCAGGCCGTATCCTGAGCTGAGGCTGTGGTAGTCATGGAGGAATGGAGTGCATAAGACCACAGTGAAAAACGAATTACCGTATTGATCCTGTGGGCCAGCCGGTGACCCAGTTCTCCACAATGGACATCCAGCTTCTCTAGCTCTCGGCGCCTAGTCTGCAGCTCCACACAGGAATTTTGGCCAGAAAAAAAATGGTTGTGCTTAACAGAGCTTGGTTTCTTTTGAGTTTTTTCCCTTCCTCAATTGGTGTTTTTTTTCTCGCCACTGTAGCCACTAGCTTGCTTGGATCGGGACTTGTGGAGCTGCACATCGCTAGATTTGCTCTTCAATGCTTGAACTTTCAACAGTAAAATTTTAACCACACTGAACTAAACTAAACTGAACTTTAACTGGACTTTACATCTCCGGATTTTAAGCATTACATCATCCATTTAAACTGATTGTGCACACACCTGTTGTTGTCTTCGACCATCCTGAAGGAGGTATTAATGCTGGTGAAGAGCTTTTATGTATCCAACAGAGAGATCAACCTGCAGCCAAGTTCGCTCTACAGTTTCGTACGCTAGCTGAACAAACTGGCTGGGCTGATGATCCCCTGAAAACCCTTTACCGAAAAGCCCTGAATTCTGAATTGCAAACGGAGATGGCATGTCGAGATGAAGGAAAGTCACTGGATCAGCTCATCGAACTCTCCATCAGGTTGGACAATTTACTTCATTCACGAAGACAATTTTATTCTGTTCCCCCTTGTCCTGTAACCCTCGAATTCCACAACTCCATGCCCTATTGAGCCCATGAAATTAGGTAGAACTCAGTTATCTAAAGCTGAACGAGAGAGAAGACTAAAGAATAACTTGTGCCTGTATTGCGGTCTTTTGGGTCATACCAAGTTCCAATGCCCCAATAAGCCACCCCTCAAGACGTTCCCGGTGAGTGCTACTTCTGTATTCTTCAAATCCAGTCATACCTTGAATATACCCATCTGTCTGAATTATGGAAATATAACAATTCAGACACTAGCCATGGTCGATTCAGGAGCCGCTGGCAACTTTATTGATCACACGTTTGCCAGAAACCACTCCATCCCTCTAACCACTTGTGATTCTCCACTAGCCATTACTACGATAGAAGGACGTCCCCTGTGGGAAGGAAACATTAATTTCCCAACTCTGCCACTCTCTGTTCAAACAGGCTCTCGCCATGAAGAGAAATGATCGTTTCTGGTTACCAGTGCTCCCCAACACGCTATCCTTGGGTTACCCTGGTTGCAAGCTCATGAACCCCAAATTTCTTGGAAGACCGGTGACATTATTAAGTGGAGTAATGATTGCCTTGGAAAATGCTTAAACTATTGTTCCTGTCAAGATCAACAAGATAGTTGTCTGTCCCGATGATTCTGAAATGAGTCCAATCCCCAAAGTACACAAGGATCTTGCCGAGGCACTTAACAAGAAAGAAGCCACTAAACATGCTCCTCACCGTGAGTATGATTGCTCTACTGAATTATCGCCTGGTACAACAACCCCTCGTAGGAGAATTTTTCCTCTTTCTCAGACGAAGACTAAAATCATCCAAGCGTCATCCCAAAACCCCACACCTCCGGAGTGCCCTGAAAATAGTGTCTTTGTTTCCCTGTCTTTAAGAGAGGAATTCATCACAGAGACCCATAATAACCCCAGTTCCAGGCATCTTGGAATTACGGCCACGCGTCACTTGATCCAGAACCAATACTTGTGGCCTTCCATTAACAAGGATACGATCAATGTGGTTAACAACTGTTTCCCTTGCCAATTGAACAAACACTCCCATCATCGCCCCGCTGATTTACTGCAATGTCCTGGTCCCACGTACTCCCCAGGACAGTGGGTTTGGCTATCAACCCGAGACCTCCGCCTTAGACTCCTCTGCAAGAAACTCAGCCCCAGGTACGTTGGTCCTTTTCAAATAGAAAGACAAATTTCTCCTGTGTCCTTCCGACTGACCTTGCCTAACCACTACCGTATCTCTCCTACATTCCATGTCTCCCTGCTCAAGCCTGCTGTAGGTCCAGTATAGCTGGATAGGGAGGTGGCAACCGATGAACAGGGTCCCCCACCTATCATGATCGATGGAGAAGAGGCTTATCAGATCCACGAGATCCTGAGATCCAGACGCCGGGGCGGACAGCTACAGTACCTCATCGATTGGGAGGGGTACGGCCCGGAAGAGAGATCTTGGATCAACCGTAAGGATATTCTCAACCCAACTCTGTTGAATGAGTTCCACTTGCAGCATCCGGAAATGCTGGCCCCTCGCCCCCGTGGAAGACTCTGGCATCGCGATTCTTCTCACTTCAGGAGCCGTTTGTTGGAGGGGGGCTCTGTCATCGACTCGGTCCCAGTCATTCCCCTCGCTGGCCAGCAGAGGCCACCATCTCCGGACTTTTAGCATTACATCATCCACCTAAACTGATTGCGCACACACCTGTTATCAATCCCGCTAACGAGCCACGCTACCTGTTATAAGCCACGCTCAAACACCAGTTCAGTGCGAAGTCTTGTTCTGCCACGGCTAACATCTGAGTGTTATTCCCTTGCCTGATCTCCTGTGTATTACCCTGGACTGTCTCTGACTCTGAGTTGCCTTCTGCCTGCCCCTAACCTTGCTTGTATCTGGACTCTAACCCACGCTGCCTGCCCTGGACCCACGCCTGATATCTGGACTCTGAACCACGCCGCCTGCCACTGATCCATGCCTGTTATATCACCCTGTGTCTGTCAGCCGCCAGCCCTTCGACCATTATTGCATACTGTTGATGTGAGATTGTATGATTGTAATTGAACTGTGTCTATTAAATACTGCAAATGGATCCCTCCATGTCAGGCTCCTCATTACAACTAGAACTTCTATGTTAAGCTGCTTTGACACAATCTACATTGTAAAAGCGCTATATAAACATGAATTGAATTGAATAAAGCAAAAGCCAAAATAGCTGGTGGTTTATTTTGCTGTGGCAATTCCTGATAAGTAGGGACTAAGCCAAAAGAAAATGAATGAATGTAAGATTCTGACAGTATTTCAGGAATCACGTTGCACGTCTCATTTTTTTCTGTCAGCAGTTTTGTAACAAAATATATTTAGTTTGTAGTAAATCAATCATTTACTTGTTTCTTTTAAAATAACTGGTTCAACACTGTTCATTAAACAAAGTTTAACTTCAGAAAAACTGAAATATATGGGCAAAGGTTATGTGGATTACTGTCACAATGTTTTATTATGCTTTTATGGTCTTTTTGGCGCCGTGTTGTATTGAAATCATAAATGTATGATAAATAACATGGTAAATGTTGGATAACCAGTGGGATGAAATTATAATTGGTCTATTCCCCAAGCCAGAAAGTGCACACACAAATTAGATTTAGAATTACAAATGAATTCTTGACTCTGTAGGCTCTAAATTTGAATGCACTGTTGAATTAAATTAATATCTTGTGGATCATTGTACTGTTAGACTTTTTTGTTAACACACCCTAAGGTAATCATAAACTCATGATCAAACATGGTCACATTCATAGCGAGTTACGATATCACATGTTTAGTTTTGTCTAATCGAAACCAACTTTTTACTGCAAATTCGACTTTATTCATGAGACTCACTCAGAGTACCACTGAACATCCCTCCAAGGTTTTTCCATACGTCCTCCACAATCTATTGAGAATACAAAATAAAACATGTTAATCATGTGGTATAGATCAGTATGTTTTATAAAATGTTCTGATCAGATAAAGGCAAAAAAAAAATACAAACCTTCCACTCTATACACCTCACATTCTGTCAGGTTTAAATCATTGCCATGCATTCGCTGGGGATCAAACTGGTAGGTTCCTGGATTACTGTTGACTGTGGCAGTGTTATTGTGAAGAAAAATTAAAGAGCCGAAGTTGGGACCATTGTCAGTGAAAGCAAACTGTGGATCTGCGCTGACCACACGCAGAGGATCTTCTTTAAGCTCATTGTCATTAAAACTAAAAAGAAAGGCTTTGTCATCCACAATGTTTTGATTAGTTTGGCCATAATCTTTGCTGGTGAAAGCTCCAAAAACATAACCAGACTTATTGTAAGCAACAACAACAGTTGGACCCTGCTTATCACACTTTTGGTGAAAACTAGCAGCATCAAAGCCATGCACGCTGGCTTTGAAAAGCAGGCTGGATTTGGCATGGTTGAATAAAGTGAAGAGCTTCTTCTTCTGCTGTTCAGTCAAGCTAGATGTGACGGTGCTCATGATGATGATCTGAAATCATTCAATAAACATTTTTAAAAATGTAATCAAATAAGAACTATTAGAAGTAGTCTAATTTTGAATGAACCTTTCATAGAAAGGTTCTTTTCAGAGAAAAGAATAAAAGTTCTAATTTATTAGAGTAATTTCAGTACATACTATAAGTGCTACAAATAAAAGATCATTTAACAAATAGCCCACACCTCAAATCACATGAACTTTAAAATCTCAATTTTAATATGTAAAAGACATTTTAAAGTTTGCTATGAAAACTATAATTACACAGCATACAATAACATATGTTGCAAAAAACATATAGCTTACCTTTAACAGATGATGCAAATATATAGCTCAACTTTTTAAGAGATTGTCAGATTCTTCTTCTTCAAAGCAAAGCTACAACAGTAGTACTTTACTTTCAGTTCTACCTGACTAATAAATGAAATGTCTCTTGCAGACGTGTCGTCACAAATTTGTTCACACAGGAACAGAGCATCAATGAATAGAACAAATACATTTTTAATGAAATTTTATGACCTTATCAACAAGAAAGTACAGTGAGCTATTCTACTTACAAGTTTCACCATTTTTCTTGCACACATTGCTTCTCGAACATTTTACTGTAAACTCTCAGAAATAAAGATACAAAACCTGCTTCTGGGGTGGTACCTTTTCTAAAGGTAAACGCTTGCACCTAAAAGTTCTATATTAGTACCATAAAGGTATGTTTCAAAAGTACTTTTTGAAATGCTCCAGTAACAGCTTTTGTAAGTTTAATTCTAAGTTAGTATTCAGAATTAGTACCTTTAGTAGACAGTCTTGGACTTTGTACTTTGAGTTACATACTTAACAGCTTTACCATGTTTACTCAGAGCCCATTATACACAGAAAACATTGTCTTGTTAAACGTCAAACTTGTCGGCTCATTTTGATTTTACGTACAATGTTCAAACTGTACACAGCATCTACCTGTATTGCAAAATGGCCTACTGTCACCCCTAGAGGGCAATAGTTGTAAGGGAATACTTAATAAACAACTTGCATCTTCAGACCAAAAGAAGCAAAAACAAATGCAGCAGGGATCATCCTACATAACCCTAACCCTTGCAATACTTTTATATCACTTTCTATTACAATGGTTATATTTTTACCCATCCAGCAATGAAGCATCTAGCTAAAAATAGACCTGAGTTAAACTACTTTAGTGCTAAGTTGCTGTTGATAAAAGCATCTGCTTAATGAATAAATGTAGAAAGGAATGACTTAACAAGTTGACACTACTCAGACTTCTCCTCTGGATTGTAACAATCATCAAAAAAACCTTCGGCAGCTCTAAGCATCTGAATAAGTCCATTCAGGAGCAGTATGTCGGTTTGAGGGTCTATTTCCAGTTCTTGGCAATAATTTTTCACTGGAACCACAGCAGACAGAGAAACTCCAAGCTGAGTGCTAACCTCTTGCATCTACAGTATCACCAAAAAATATACAGTACATCAGAAATACTCAGAAATATTATGTGGACAAACAGTGTAAAGCATAATGACTGCTGTATAAATTATATTATGTGAAATGCATTTATTTGTATACCATTTGGTTGATGTAGTGACTCCGGTAGACATTTTTCAGGTCTTCTGCCACTAAGGGACAGGCTTCATCCACCTTGGTCAGCAGAACTAGCTGAGGAATACCTAAAGAACATACAGCCATTCTCCATTGTGAAATTCTATGACGTCTCAGATTTGACTATACTATAGAAGATATGAAAAGGAATGTCTTGCCCAACTGTTTAACAAATACCCCATGCTTTTCTCTGATGTCCCTGGCAAAACCTCTATGATCACACATGACATAAATGTAGGTAACTATCCTCCCATCAAACAACACCCATATTGTGTAAATCCCCAAAATCGAGAGATAGCGAGGCAGGAAGTTGAATATCTCCTCAAGCATGGCCTTGCCACACTTAGTCAGAGCTTTTGGAGCTCCCCATGTGTGTTGGTGCCGACTAGCGCAAAGTAAATAGTGTGACCAAGCCAAACTCCTTTCCTTTGCCCAAAATGGAAAATTGTGTGGCAGAATTGGTAGTGCTCACTTTATCACAAATCTAAAAGGATATTAGCAAGTGCCACTGACTCCCCATGCATCCGAGATTTTAGCCTTTGTGACCCCTGATAACCTGCTGCAGTACTATGTAATGGCCTTCGGGAAGCAAAACAAAATGAATTCCTGTACCTTCTATTTTGACATCATATGAGTGAAGTGATCTGTCTGTGCTAGAAAGTGAACATTGTTTTCAGTCTATTAAGACTGTATACATGCACATAATTGCACATTTTGTCAGCAAATATAATCTTTGATGTTGTACTGAAGAAAAAAAAGCAATTTTGGAGAGCATGAGGTTAATTTACAGCCTGTTTTGTGGGTGAACTCTTCCTTTAGGGGCTTTTGGTTGGTTAAAAAGGCTGGCCCAGTAAAAAACATACTGTTGAGTTGAATTGAATTCAGCCCAGTCTGCTTCTTTATTGGTCACTCACCCAGCTGGTTGGTTTTCTTTCGGAAAACTGCAAACTTCTCAATGATTTTATCAGAAAGGAGATTCACTTTGCAGGCGTCGATCACATACACCACACAGTGAATCTTGTCCTTCAAGCCAGGAGATTTAACGAAATATGGCGAGTCTGGCTGTATAGGCATTGATGGGTTGAACTAAGAAAAATGAAAATAATTTAATCACAGAACATTAGAGAGAATTAAAAAATGTAAACCCCTGTAACTAAAATATCTATCTGACCTGAAACCTTAAATGTTTACATTTTATCTAAAGGTCTCACCTGGTAGCGGTCTTGAATGTGACCCTTCAAAATACTGGCAAAATCATCCACATCCAAACCACAGTTCAGACCCTCCTCCAGACCCATTGTGTCACACAGAGTGAAGGGAACATGGCTGACACTGCTGCCTGGCTTTGTGTAGTAGGTACGGAACTATGCGGCATAAAAAAAAACTTGTTTCACTATGCCGTAAGTCTCCCAATATTTAACTAAAACAGAGGTGGAATAATATTAATTCAGTTCTACCTGAGTAGTCAAACTGGTTTCGGCAGTGCCAGTGTTGGCCTGCATGCTCACGTAACCCTTGAATACAGAGTTGATGGAGTTGAAGAAGCTTGATTTTCCAGCACCAATGGGACCCAGCAACAGAATCCGAGCCTGTTTAATTGAGCTCACAGAAGGCTTCCAGCTGGAGATGGAGCTCAAGAGTGCCTTCTTTTTCCTAAGACATTAACAATTATAATAGTGGTCAAATTTCTTATATGACAAATAATTCAAAAATGAACTTACCCTCACTCCTGAAATGTGAATTTTTAAAGTATTTTTTTGCTGAATAAGTAAGATTGACTTTTGCAGATTCTCAGTGTTTGATTTATGTTGTTACACAACACTCATGACTATAGTGAACATGTTGAAGACCATTTTCGAAGACTGTGGTTTAAAGGTAATAATGTTCAGTTATTTGTACAGACTGATCATTTCATTCTTGAGACCTTTAATTTATCACAAGCAGTCCTAGGTATTTCTTCTACAGAAAGTATCAGTAGTTTTTTACTTGCATTGCATAAATCATTAAGAACCAATATTTCAGCTAAAATCTTCTTTTAATGTTTATTTAAGAAAAGGTCACCTGCATCTTGGATGATCTGAAGTTCCCTGTAAATGATCTATGTAGCAGAGTACTAACTAAAGCTTTTTGCCATATTGATAATCATTTGTACAACTACAGCATTACTAATTAGTCATCAAACCACTATCTCTGACACAGCACATTTGAAATATGTATAAAAAGCAATGCATTTTTGTTACTCACTCCGAGTCCCAGTGCACATTTCTCCATGGTTTCTCCATCAGCCCTCCACAACCTAGTGAGAATACAATCCAGAGCATGACAAATTCTCAAAGCCAATTTACATGTACAAGTAATTCACAACCATTGTTGAAGTAGTGCATTGCTCTGCCATAACTAAAGTACAAACAAATACAAACCTTCCACTCTGTACACCTCACATTCTGTCAAGATTAAGTCATTGCCATGCATCCGCTGTGGATCAAACTGGTAGGTTCCTGGATTACTGTTGACTGTGGCTGTACTATTGTAAAGAAATATTAAAGAGTCGAAGTTTGGACCATTGTCAGTGAAAGCAAACTTTGGATTTCCACTGATCACACGCAGAGGATCTTCTTCAAGCTCTTTGTCGTTAAAACTGAAGAGAAAAGCTTTGTCATCCACAATGTTTTGGCCTGTTTGACCATAATCTTTGCTGGTAAAAGCTCCAAAAACATAACCAGACTTATTGTAAGCAACAACAACAGTTGGACCCTGCTTATCACACTTTTGGTTAAATGTACTAGTACTGTAGCCATGTACACTGGCTTTGTACAGCAGGCTGAGTTTGGCATTGTTTAGCAATGAGCAAAGTTTCTTCTTCTGTTTTTTGGTTAAGCTGGATATGATGGTGCTCATCTAAAAAAATAAAAAATAAAAAGCAGTGTTTTTAAATATTTTAATGGAATGAAATGACCTTTTAAAAAGTATTTTGAAGATTACCAGCCAAGTTCAAACTTTACTATGTCCCTCAACTTCTTTAAAAATTTAAATCACTCAAATGGTCATAATCTTACAGTAGCTATCTAACAGAAATTATAAATGCAATTGAATACAAATGTAATAATCTTGCAACAACGTTATGAAAACAACTTACTTTGGAACAAGTCGACAGAGGATGCAGGCTTCCTTTTTGCTAAGTACCCTGAAAGTCATGCTTTCTTTCGTTTTCACTGAAATCAAAACTAGCTACAGGAAGCAAAATTATACGTGTCGAGGCAAGTTATTGTCTTTGAGAATTCAGTGAACCGAGACGAGAGCACTTATTTTTCAACGAAGAAAACCAGGGCAAACTGAATTTACAATTGACTGCAAAAGAATGTAATGTTAGAACATGCTATTATGCTACATTTCAATAAATGAATATATAGCACACACGTCAGATAAACAGTAAACATTTTTAAACAGTAAATTTTTTCAATAAAGATTCCAGTAACAATAAAGATTCATTGTTGAATTAACTTACTAATTTTATTAATTAATTGATTAATTAATTGATATTAAGCATACATATGAATAGTAATAGGCATATACTCTTCATAGGATTTCATCAAAACCTTCCTTAGGTAGGGCTCATACATGTAACTGCAATGTAACTTTACTGCTAAAAAAACAGCTTAAACCAACCTAAGCTGGTTTAGCTGGTCGACCAGTCTGTTTTTTGAGTGGTTTTGGTCATTTCCAGGCTATTTTCCAGCTATTTTCAACCTGGTCTTAGCTGGTCAGTCTGGAAAATGACCAACTAAAACCAGCTTGCCCAGCCTGGTTTAAGCTAGACATAGCTGGTTTTGGCTGGGCTCCCACCCTGGCTAGGCTGGTCAAGCTCGTTTTAGCTGGTCATCTCCCAGCCCGACCGGCTAAGACCAGGCTGGGAATGGCTAGAAAACAGCCTGAAATGGCCAAAACCCATCTAAAAGCAGACTGGTCAACCAGCTAAAATCCGCCAACCAGCCTAGGCTGGTTTAAGCTGTTTTTTTTTTTTTCAGCAGGGATTTTGTTAATTACGTTTTGAAATGTGATATTCAAATTACAAGTTACATGGGGAAAGTATAGATTAATAGTGATTACTTTGAAATTTAATGAGATTTTTAATTTAACATTTATGTAACCATAGAAATTTTGACCAATAAGGCAACTGATTATCTGTTTAAGAAACTGCGTGCAGTTAAAGCAACTGTTTTCACAAAAATGGGCGACACAGAAAACCATTCGCGGAAAGCAAATTCTCTTATGGATATAACAAGTTAAGTTTATAATAAGTATAATAAATTATAAGTGCTCGACCCCTGCATCTGTCAAAAACAGTTCATAGAACAAAAAATAATTGAATAAAATATTAAACAGGTGAACAGTAAACAGAATTACAATACCATTATTTGCACTATACATATGAAATGAATAGCGCACACAAACCTAAGGCAAAGTAATTCAAATGAATGAATGATATTTTTATTACATATTTCCCATAAATTCTTCCCAATAATTATGTCTCAGTGCATTATGTGATTGTTTTGTTCTAACATGCTGACAAAAATCAGCTTTTTTTATGTCATTTAAGTGTTTTTATTTATATAATTAATGTTACATATATGTATATTACACACTTTCCTCTATATGACAGTGCAGCAATGCATGATTTCAACAAGCTTACACAAACTTACAAGACATTCTCTTTGTAGTGCTGAATTAAAGATATGCACCTAAAGATAATGCACAGTAGGCATACAGTATACAACGGAGGCTCTGCACTGCAGTAACAAGATTCACTTGTGTCACACAGTTGGCACATACAGTATACCACCTATCACAGTTCCAAATGGGATAAATTAAAATGGTCACTTACATGCCATCACTTTTTTACAGATTTTATTGTGACTTCCATTATTGTGCAAGAAATTTATATCACATTTATGTGACAATGTAAAGCCACTAGTCTCCAAACAACCAAAATTATCCTTTAAGAGCAAGGCAAAACCAACAAGTATTTTTATAAGTAAAAAAATACTAGTTTTTTTGTATAATAGTGTTGTGTGATTCAATGCGTTTAAAACCATGAAAGAAAAAAAACAGTACCACCTCTAATCTAAACCTTGCTGACACTGCTAATTTGTTTATTCCAATTGTTTTTGTGTCTGAAATTGCTGTTTATAATAGTCGTCATGCTCAGTGAGATAAATGATCAATAGACAATTATTTTGACTCTTACAGTCAGCTGCATAAATTGTACACCTCCTCTATATAAGGATTTGAACTCTTGATTATGTTAAATATAGCAAATAATTTTCTCAGTTAAAGCCAGTGCCATTATACTCCTAGAGTAAATACATCTACTGTATCTGTGTTGATTTAATTCTTGTGATTTTACTGTGATTTTAGTCTTTAGCTACACAACCTGCTTAGGTATCTTTCATGAACACAACATACAGCATGTTGATAGATAAAGCATCTGCCGAGAACATTACATTGCATATTGATCTAGATGGTAAAATGTGCAGGTGTGAATTTAAATAAGCATGGCATACACAGTGGAAAAATTAAAGCATGTATCATCACATGTCCATCTAGCAGAACTCTACTTTACATGCAGGGAACGTCTCTTCCTGCATAGCCACAGTGCTGTTGCTGCCTAAAACTGTAATGCCCAGCTGCCGCTGTTTTTCTTGAGTTTCTCGGTACCACTCATGCATCATCGGTGATTCAAACGTAGGAATCAGGGTCACCTGGAAGTTTACACAAAGTTACTATGGATTAAGCATATTATTTTCCCATATAAAAAATATAAGAAGATGTGTTTGTATTTGCACTAAATTGTAGTGTATGTTTTAGGCATAGATGATGATAGAATGGGGAAAAGTTTGTATGTGCACCTTTAAATCAACTTATACTGCATATCTTATCATACTTACTGGCAAATCATCAGGCCAAACAGATTTTCCCTCCAATAAGGCATCCAGAATAGACCTCATCAAGCCTTCCTTGAGTGTGTCATCGCCACTTATTATGTAACAGGAGGAGCGCAAACGGCAGAAGAACTCAACATCAACAGTGGAAGCTGCATGGCCTGATGGAAGGTAAGCCAAGTCCAAGTATACTGAAGCACCAACCTTGCTACCTGTTGATGCATCCAGACCTCAGTCAGTGCCACACAAACATTCACTTACATAGAGATATTTACAAATGGCCTTTTTCCGCTGAGCAGTATAGTTTGGTACAGTACAATACGGTATGCATTTATTTTCACTGTCAACGTTACTAAAATAGCAAACCATACCATATAACTTTTTCTGCACCCTTTTTAAGCTAGACTCACTTCTAAGTGAAGTTTCACTGACAAATTCGAGAAGAGCATGTTATATGATTTATCGCGGCTGACCTCTCATCCGTAATCAGAAAAAATCCAATCAGATTGATTTAAGCTCACAATAAATAACTACCTTATCTTAATTTTGGAAAAATCACCCTTCCACCGCATCTACTCCTTTTCCTCCCTTTACCAGGGGGAGCTCGCCAGACCTGCCTGATCTCTGACCCCCTTATATGCTTATTGACCAGGCGGGAGTCCTGGGCTCAGCGTTCTCTCCCGGGTCAGCATGCCAAACCTAATAATAATGTCAAGCAGTTTAAACTATTTAAAATGCTAATAGTTTCCAGGGGATTATCACCCACACGTTAAACAAGACAAGGAAATGACAACAAAAAAAAAGTGCCATTTTTATATGCATAGCGGAAACATGACATTGTAATAATACAAAAATTGTGAGTAGCACTGCACCATCACATCTCATCAGAAGAGGTGTTGCTTCCTATCTTTTTATGCGCATGTCTGCATTTGAAATAATGAACCTGAGTTTGCAAAAGATACAGTATGGGAATGGCCAATACAGATGAGAATGATTTTGATCACAATTTTCTGGTATACTCCACTCCTACCAAGAAATGTTTTTTTGGGGGGATTGGAAATGTACTGTACTGGACCGTACTGCTCAGTGGAAAAGGAAAAATGAAATCAGTCCAAACCTGCTGTTGTGGATCTTTTAGAAGCAGAGCCTGTGCTACGACTAGCCACTACATCTCCTACTGAGCTGCTTCGTGAGCCGCTAACAGAAGTTCCTTGACTTCCAGCCCTGGATTTGCTGCCTAGAGTTGAAGCACTAGAGGATGTTAATCTTTGTGTGACTCCTGCTGCTTTTCTGCCTTTTGTTGCACCTGACTTCACACCACTAACAGGATCAGGCATACAGGCACCAGGCTGAGGTGGAAGAGGAGGTAAGTCTTTCACAGGCACAGGTGGGGGATCCTTCGGCAAAGGATGATTCCCTCTGTAAGAATTCAAACCATCATTTAGGTTATGGGATTGCAAGTGAACGACACCTTCTTCATCAGAATCCAAAAGACCGTCTGCTGTAATGGAGCAATCCTCAACACCAGGATGTACATCTGAGTCTGTCGCCATAGGGAAACATTCGCTGGTAGAAGTGAGAGGGGTGTCCTGAGCTGGATGAGAGGCCTTGTTACCTGAACATGAAGCTGGAAATGGCTTAGCTGCATCTTGGGAGTGGTCACTATCATCAGAAAGGTTTAATGGGCTGGTGTTACAGATGCCTGGTGAGAGTGGATCCTCTTGATCGCCAACCGGTTTGAAATGTTTAAACTCACATGGAGAAACTAAGCAGAGATCAACATCATGGTTAGCGTCCAATGCCAGGCCCTGTGGTCCAGATGGACACCCTTCAGAGCCATCATGAGGTGTCCTCTGGGTGTGAGGCTTCTTTAAAGACAAAGACATCCCTACTTTGAAATCAGAATTGACGTGGTGTCCATTGGAGTAGGAAGTTTCGTCTTCGTTGGTGGACTCACTCACAGTTGGCAGCACTTGTTCAAAAGACATGGACAATGACTCATCAACCTCAGTGGACTGCGGTGAACTTACTTCTGCAGGCATTGAGTGAGTGGTGGTAACAGAGGGAGATATATCAGGCATTATATCCTTAAAAGAGCTGAGAGACAAGAAACTAGAATGCTTCTCTTTAGAGGAAGTCGAGACGCTCTCTTGGGTACTTTTAGGGCATCCAGATTCTGAAAACTTGGACAGTCCCATCTGCTGGCTTTCTGAACCAAGACACATCTTAACCCCAAAACTACTATGATCCTTGGAGGCCCAGGTCTCTTCAGGTGACAGGTGATAAGGTGTATGACCAGCGCTGTTTGGACCTGATCTAGGCGATGTTAGCTCTAATGTTTTTTCATCCGGACTAACACAAACTTCCTCATGCTTATTTTTTGATATATTTTCTTTTAAAGCACCATCAAGCAAGGTATACTCAGTGGGAGTAAGGTCTAGATTCACATTGCGCTCTGTTTTTATTTTGACAAAGGTTCTTGCAGTTGATGCAGGGTTAACTATGCTAGTACACTTAGACTGTCCCATCGAGTCACTTTTCAGGTTTCCAGAGTCAACAGCTTGACTCTTCGCAAGTAATTCGTGTTGTTCTCGATCCATTTGCAGAAATTCTGCTGTCATATCTTCAGGTGAGGATATTACGGAGCAATTAACGTCTTCTGAATCTGTTGACAACTTCTGATTCTGCTGCTGTTTGTTAGACTTAAAGTTTTTGGCTTTGTCCTCTGTTTGTTTCAGTAATTTTGTTTCAACTTTTACATTTGCAGGCTTATTTGAGTTTAGTAGTCCTGTTGAGGTTTTCTTGGCATCTTTCCCAAGAGACTTAGTTGCCTTTTTCTCTTCAGTTTTGCTATCTAACTTTGGTCTTCTAATGGAAAAATCCTTGCTACCTGATGTTTTTTTCTGCCCATTTTCTTGCTTCTTTGAGTCTGATTTGTTTGTTTTTTCACTGCTTTTGTCCTTCAAAGACTCCTTTCTTGTAACAAGTCTGGAGGGGTTTTGTTTTGCATTGCTTTCTACAGATTTTATATTTTCTTCACTTTTTGGATCATTCCCAGTCATGGGTTTGGTTTTGTCTTTTTGTTCTTGAACTCCACGACCCAGTCTGTCATTTGAAGCACCATTACTTGGTCTGGATTCATTTTTACTAGATTTGGGATTGTCTTGATTCTCTGAAATTTTCGTATTCTTGTCTGATTTCGTGGTTTCAAAATCTTTGGAGCACACTACAGGCCGCTTGAGAAACTCTAGATGCTTCAGTCTCTCCAGACTATCCATTATCTTTCCTTGTGGTGTAGAGCCAGGGAAGAGAACTCTGATGATTTTCTCAGTTGGGTTAGCTGGATGCCAAACAAGCAAAGCACATATAGAGACCAAAGAGGTTAGGTGTCCATCTAAACCTTTGGATTTTGAGCTATTATCTGGCCAGTTGTTCATAAAAGACTCTATATCTTTGCTACGTTTCACTGGATTTAGGATATAAAGTTCAAGACATCCCACTCCCATTTTCTGGAATAGAATAACTGGCTCAATGGGGCCAGTTGAATTGCGAAAAAGGGGCTCTGGTGAGATCTTCAGTTTCTCCAAATGCTGTAATATGAATCCTGCTAAATCACTGCTTCGTAGTACATTAGGATCACCCTGAAGTTTTTTAAGCCTGTTTGGGGCATTAAGAAAAACCACACCAAGCTCTGGAGAGATTAGATTCTTCACCCATTGCTCCTTTTCCTGCGAGTCCGATTTATTTTCCTCAAGCTCTGCAACTTTCCTTTCCAATAGGCTGTTAACTCCTGGCAGGTTGTCTATTCCAATGTGTGTAAGCAGCACTGAATCAACACGGTCCAAATGCCTGACCAGTTTCCAGAAACAAGAGCGTGGATCTGCTCCACCGTTGACCAAAACATTAAAGCCATTGACAGCAAAAAAAGCACAGTCACCTCTCCCTCCTGGAAAGACATAACAGCACGGACGACATAGCTTGAGAAATCCCACTGTGCCAGGAGGCTCTAAGAGGTCAAATGGAGACTGTGACTCTAACGATTCAAAAAGGTGGTCCGTGAACTCTTGAAGGCCCCCCATTTTTGGTAGTACCATTAGGGGATTCACCTTAATGTCAATAATGTCATTTATGTTGTGCTTCCCAAGCACAGAGTTTTTCCATTTTCCAGTTTTAGGGCAGCTTAAGATGAGGTTTGCTTTGCCATGAGAACTTACAGAGTTTAACAAAGCTTGGATCTATTGGAAATGTACAAAGAAATTGCATTATATTACTTATATTTAAAACAGAAAATGGCTAGAATATTTCTGCATAACAGAATCATTTGAAAAATTATATATTCAAAGATAGGTTAGATTTTCAAATATGAGGACAACCCATTAAAATGTTGCTGTATTTTACACATTATGTATACATTATTCATTACATTTTGCACTTTTCAGTCCAACAAACCTCTTCATCTGAAAAGATCTGGGTGAAATCATTTGGCGTGAATTGCCCCGTGTGCAAGACCAGATCTCCAGAGTCTTCAAGAGACTGTCCTGTCAGCACCAGCAATTTGTGGCGAGGTATGGATGATATCAAGCTGTGAACCTGTAATTATAGTTCAAAATATATATTTTATTTTTAAAAATGTGTATATTAGAATTCTTTATGCATATTATTATATTGCGTGTTTTTTAATGCAATACATTTTAAAATATGAAGAAGAGACTAATTTAGGTGTCACACACCTCAGAGTAGAGAACCCCTTCAGATGGATTCACTACAACTTTAATGTCCAGAACATTTGAACTGAAATGAAATGTCTTCTGACCTGTAATGAAAATGGAGACAGACTAAATGGGTCAATAAAAAAATTAACCAGAATATGTAAGATGTCATGCAAATCCGAATTAATACTTTGAATTCTAACTCCACTAAACTTAAAAGTGGAAACATGTGGCCCTTTACTGGACAAGAATGAAAAGACTTGACTTAGCTGAAATGTCTTTTAAATGATGAGTCACATAACATTGTTTTAATGCTGCCAGTCTAATCTTAAATATAGAACCAAGTATTGCAAATTTTAAAAAGTGAGATTTCCTGAGTATAAGTTCGGCGTACATCTGTCTGATTTGTCAGCAAAATTATTTTCAAAACCGCTGCAACAAAAGTGTTTCACTGCTGTTTTTCCAACAGCAGCCAAAGTCTGAACAATTGGTAGAAAGCATTTCCTTCCTGCCTTTCTGCTCTGTGCTCTAGAATAGCAAATTAGGACCAACACGCCAACCTAATACAACATTCTTTGAATAACAGGAGCTGCCAATCAGTTTACTTGCACTCAGTTTGGATATACCCTATTTAACTAGAAAAATATCAAATTAATGATTGCCCTCCCGATAGAGCAAAGAGAACACAATAGTGCATTTCATATACAGTGCTCAGCATAATTGAGCACACCCCATTTTGAAAATGAATATTATTATTAGCAAAAAAAATTACAACCTACAAAATTTCAACAAATTTTTTAAATTTTTTGCTTCTGTTATTTTTTCCTCATTTTAAATTTGTATTTAATATTTTTCTCTAACATATACATTTGGCTGTGCTAGTTTTTGTACCATTATTGTAAGTTATTTTGTTCGATTAGCTCCAGATTTGGCTTCAGTACTGACTAATATATATAAATATATATATATATATATATATATATATATATATATATATATATATATATATATATATATATATATATATATATATATATGCACACATATAATATTGTATAGCTTTTTAATATAAATATTAATTTAAAAGAGAGATTTGTGAGGGGTGTACTTATATATGCTGAGTGCTGTGTAAACAAAATATTAAAAAATGCACGGAAATCACACACATCGTTCTAAATGGGTGCTCGGCCAAACATCAAAACGTGCAAAAATATATTTAACAAGGCGACAACATAAAAGCTCCAAAAATACCAATTTATTAAATTAACAAGGCTAACACAAAGCATGTAATGTTTCGAGCACACCGGCTCTTCATCAGACAGTGTGCTTTGTGTTAGCTTTTTTAATATAATAAATTGGTATTTTTGAAGAGTTTTATGTTGTCGCCTTATTTAATACATATATAGTTGAAGTCAGAATTATTATCACAGTATGTCTAATAATATTTCTTCTTCTGGAAAAAGTCTTATTTATTTTATTTTGGCTAGAATAAAAGTAGTTTTTAACTAAAAAAAAAAATATATATATATATATATATAATTTAAGGTCAAAATTATTAGCCCCTTTAAGGTATATATTATTCGACTGTTTACAGAACAAACCATCATTATACAATAACTTGACTAATTACCCTAACCTGCCTAGTTAACCTAATTTATCTAGTTAAGCCTTTAAATGTCACTTTAAGCTGTATAGAAGTGTCTTGAAAAATATCTAGCTAAATAATATTTACTGTCTTCATGGCAAAGATAAAAAAAAAAAATCAGTTATTAGAAAAGAGTTATTAAAACTATTATGGTTAGAAATGTGTTGAAAAAAAAAATCTTCTCTCTGTTAAACAGAAATTAGGGAAAAAAATTATTTAGGGGGGGCTAATAATTCTGACTTCAACTGTATACGAAATAAAATGGAGACCATATTCTTAGATCAAGTAATAAAAAGAAAGTTAGCTTTTCATTTGTAATCAATGGAAAATTTTCATTTCAAGAGCTTCTAATAAAAAGAATGTTGTATTCCAAGAAGCAAAAGCAACTTTAAACATTTGGTGGTGCTAGATTGTTGTGGTCAATGTTCAGACTGTCGCCTCAGTCTGTGTTGCAAATTTATCAAAAGCAGAAGAAAAAAGATCATCGAAATGATTATCCATTCATATTCCTTCGGCTTTATTCTCTATATAATCTCTATTTCAAAAGTCGCCACAGCAAAATGAACCACCAACTATTCTATATGTTGTACACAGCGGATGCCCTTCCAGCTGCAACCCAGTACTGGGAAACACCCATACACACTCTCTCTCTCTCTCACACACACACACACACACACAGATGCACTACAGCCAATTAAGTTTATTTAATTCACTTATACTGCATATTTTTGGACTGTGGGGGAAACCGGAGCACCTGAAGGAAACCCAGGTGAACAGAACATGCAAACAGAAATGCCAACTAGCCCAGATGGGAATTACCCAGCATCTTTCTTGCTGGGAGGCAACAGAACCACTAAATGAATATTTATAATTCATTTATTTTCTTTTCAGCTTAGTCCCTTTAATAATCAGGGGTTGCCACGGCAGAATGAACCGCCAACTTGACCAGTCTTTTTTCAAATTTCTGAATTGAAATAAAAAAATCGAAATCTAAAATAATCTTGTTTTTTTTAAAGTTCTGGCAATAGTTAAGTGAGTTTACCTGACTCACACACATTGAAAATAGGATTTCATTATTAATTATATAATAATGTATTATATAGCAAAGATACTGTATATAGGGCTGTACTGGGGCCGAACTACACAGTTGCTTCTTTGTTAATTCATAAGATTGCATCCCACACACATATCATTCGCTCAAAATGAGCTAGAAAAGATTCCCAGTAATGTCCTTTAAAAGTGTAGCCTATCTCTGAGGCTCATGTTTTTCAGTCAATAAAAACAAAGTACCTCTTATATCCTTGGATTCATAATAAGAATGTTGGGAAATAAAAAGCTTCAGCTGCTCATCCAAGTTACACACTGTCAGGTCTACATCCCATGCACGGATCCCTGTGTGAGGAGATGCAAATACATGAAAACATTGTAAGCATAATCACAAGCTCAATATGTTACAACATGACTGTGAATTTATGTCTTATACAAAAAGTTACAGCTTTGATTTGAGAACAAGCAGGCTAAACCCCCCAGAGCAAAAGCACTGGAGTCAGCATGAAATGGAAACATCATGTGAGACAATGTGGCTTTCAGAGACAAATGAAATGGTTGGATGACTGGCCCTCAAAAAAAAGCTGTTTTGTGGCTCTGGTGTCCTGTACTCATGAAATATAAAAGCCACTGGACAGCATGTTCTCTTTTTTTTAACCAGAGAAAGAAGCCGACTCACTGCTAGTACTGAAATAAGAAATCATGAGAGTCGGCAGCAAAGTCAGGTAAATTTACTAATTTTATAGGATGCATAGTAATGAAAGGTGAACTAGCAGCAACGATACTGTATATAAGAGGAAAAATCTGACAGAACTACTTTAGTGTGAGGTGTCAGGGTAGGAAAACAACAGAGAGACTAGAGAGTCTTTCGCGTTTTCTTTCTTTCTTTTTTTTTTTTTGCCTGATCACTGTGATGGAGACACTGCCATGGAGACAGGCTCTTTTCATTTTTTTCTACTGCCCACATGGGTGTGCTGTAAATGTTTTTGACACATCTTTAATGACGAGATGGTAAAAAAATCACTTTTCTTTTGCTCCTATGTGTCTTAAAGTTTAATAAAATAAAAAAGATTTTGAAAATTGTTGTTAACTTACGGGCCCCTTTAATTTATGACCAGCATTAACCCCTTTAGTGTCACCCCACACTGTAAACAATTTTAGTCCAGTACAACAACAACAAAAAACATAATCCTTATTCCCTTTTACCATTTTTCTTTTTTGCTCACTTAATTTTTGAAAACATCAGCTGCACTGACCTAAAATTATTTGTCAGTAATACAAAAATAAAAAAATAAAAAATTCGTTGGGTTAACATTATTAGTTTTCTGGAGAGGTGACAACAGAAATTATTTTGTCTGCAGAACTGGAATGCCTGAATTTGAGAAAACTAATAAAAACCCTAATCCTTATTTCCTTTCATTTTTTCTTGTATACTACTCAACATTTTTTTCACCTTTAATTGATAGGACAGAACACTTTCAAAAATAAAGGTATGCAAGCTGTCACAGGGGTGGTACCTTTTCAAAAGGTACAAATTTGTACTTAAAGGCTTCATATTGGTACCTCAAAATTATATATTAGTACCCACAACATTTTAAGAGAAACACTTTTGTACTTTTATATACTAATGTGTTCCCTTAAAATATTAATATGGACCTTTTAGGTACAAATTTGTACCTTTTGAAAAGGTACCACCCCAGTGACAGCTGATGTTTTCAAAAGTTGAGTGAATAAGAAAAGGTGAAAGGAAATAATGATAAAGTTTGTTGTTGTTGTTGTACTGGCTTAAAATCTTTTACAAATGCACATTTGGAAATCATACTTGAACATTATAGGTGATACATGCATATTATACATTGTTTCTCAGGATAAAGTAGAATAGTCTTTTAAATGTACTAAAGTTCTGAATATTGGATGGCGACATTTAAGGGTTAAATTATTTATTTGCTAAATCATGGTGATTCACCTTGGTGATTCATTCATTCCTTAATTTGCTTTTGGCTTAGTCACTTTATCAGGGGTTGCCACAGCTAAATGAATCGCCACTTGGTGATTCATATAAAGCAATTCAAACATATCAGAACTTTAAGAGTCAGAAATACACAAGCAAGCAAGCAAAACAAAATTAAGACCACGACTCCTGATGATTCAGTGACATCACAAGCTCATGACAGTTTGCTGGGGCAAATAATGTATTGTTGAGTTTCTTGCACAAACCAATCTTTACACATTTATAAGGCTTTTATGTGTCTTCGGGAGCTGAAGGTATTAAATTTGTTTGCCTATATATATATATATATTTTTTTTTTTTTTAAGTAGATGTCAACTTTAATTATAATACAAATCTAAAAGAAAAAATGTCTTTAATAGCCTACTTTCAAATCATCTTAAATACTTTGCTGAAGAAAAGTCACCAAAATCTTGGATGATCTGAGGGCAAATGCAGACAACAAATTTTATTATTATTTTTTTATTTTATTTTATTTTTTATTTTTTTGTGATCCCTTTAAGATAACGGAGTTTCCTAGCATCAAGCTGGTATCTATAGCTGATGTTCTATAGCTGACTAGTATAACAGACACCGGTTACAGTTTCCAAATCACGATCAGCTAGGTTAAGCTGAATATTTCTCATAATTCAAGATGATGCCACTAAAAATTACAAGCAAGCAGAAAACCACCGCTGGGTGGTGGGTGTGTATATGCAGAGCTTTTACTAAACCAAAACGAAGAAGCACATATGTGCTTCTATCGACAAAGTCATTTCTATGATCACATATTCAACTATAGTAAGGCAAATGTACTAAAGCATACTGAAAGGCTGAAGCACAAGGTGTCTATTTTCTGATGTTTACCATGCTTTAACACTGCAGTGCAGACAACATCTGCGCGTAATCTTGAATCAGAATGAACATGATATTAAATCTTTAAACGATATATGTATGTACGACGATTCATTGAAATATGGATATAAATTATCTTTTATTTTATTCACAGCGCGAAAGAAACCGCCTGGCGTCACGTTGTAGGACGGTGTTCAACCATTTAAATTCAGCAAACAGCCATCTCAAAATAACAAAAATGAAACATCAGAAACACTCGTAACCTGTTCTGCAACATGGAGATACGAATGATAACTGTATTGTCTTATGTAATAACGTTTATTATAAGTGTTAACATGAAGTTCTAACCCCATGTTATGTAAAAAAAAGGAAATACCTCGTTCAATCTCCACCACAACATAGTCCAGTAAATGCGGTCTATAGAGCGCGCCGATGACAATCAGCATTGAATATCTGTCATTGCAGAATCCAGGATGGGCTGTCAGGTCCTCCGATTCCATCGCTGCCGTGAGACCAGACGCCATGTTGGACAGTTATTCATATGATGTAATACACAAACAATCAAGCATTATTGAAGGAATAGGCGGATGGTTTGAATGGAACTGAAGGTGGCCAATCCAAATCGGGATTCAGACCGCCTTGTTGCGTGCATCACTCTTCTCAGCAGTCTTCAATATTTAATTGAGCAATGCATTTGACAAACTCATATATAATATGAATTAAATACAAGCTACTCTAGGTTTCTTTACTGGCATAAGTTATTCCATTAACAGCATCTGTTTCCATTGGGAACATATTCTTTAAAGTTGGTTTATTATTATCAAAACAGTACTTACAGTTCTTTTTAGAAATGTACAATGTCTATGGAGAACAAACAAATCGATTTCCATGGCATCTTGCCTATTAGAACCTTTCATTTTAAGAGTTTTTGAATTAATAACATGTTATAGATAAGAAATCAACACTACTAAACCATACAGTTGTTCAGACTTTATTTTAAATCTCAATGCATTTTACAGCAGTATGTATGATTAATAAGCAAAACATCAAGCACCAAGATTTTTCCTCGAGCATCTTTAATTTTTTTAAAGGCATTTTAAAATAAAAAAATGGCATGATGTTCCTTGTGGACAGCTGCATAGCTTGCCAACTCTTGCACCTTTACGTATTGCACACTGCTCACCTGCATCGCACTTCAGATAAAAAAAAACAATCAATTAATTTAATACAAAAATGCATCAAATAACAAACAAACATGTAAAATATTTTTAACATTAGCTCAGCAAAATCTTAATTTCCCATGCATATATATATATATATATATACATATATAAAACTAGACTAGAAACTAGAATTTTTTTAAAATGCAACTAAAGCCTACTATAAAAAAGCACCCTTATTGTCTCACGGCAGTGTTGATTAGAATATTTCTGGACAATTATGCATTGTAAATGTGCTTTGATTGTGTAAAATACATTACCGAAGGAAGTAGGCTCAACTTTTTTCCGGTTTGTGGAAGTTGTTTGTTCTTTAACTTCTCAAGAACCTCTTGCAATGCCTCTATCTGTGAAGTAACTATATTTTTACATTGATTCCCATTATGAAAGACACTTTAAAGAGTAAAAGAACTCACCAAATTGTTCTCATCCTGTCTTTTTGCGGCAGTGTCCAAGGAGCGATCTTCAAGAGAGTCATCACAGTGGGTGAGAATGAAGGACAGGGCAGAAGCAGCAGCGAAAAAGACAATCCGTCTGCTAAACATGGTGCTATAAGACAAGTTTCCCTGCTCTCCAAAACTGAAGATGATTGGTGATCTCAGGGTGTGATGAGCAGCTGCTCTTTATACATGAATTCAACATCACCTGCTAAAAAATTCATGATGACAGCCCTCGGGGACACATGTGTTATTAAGCTACACAAGACCATAATTTATATTCGTGGTATAGTTTGTGAGAAAAGATAAGTAAAATGCCCTATAAAGCAGATACAGTTGTGTTTTAATAGGTACAAGCAGAATAAGGTGATTTAAACAATTTAGTAAATGAGTTGAACAAATTTTACATATATTTTATTTGAGGTTTACATTGCTAATCCAATCAGAAACATTTGTTTGGTAAACAAGACTACACGATAAAAAAAAAAAAAAAAAAAAAAAAAAGATCTGTCATATATTACATACAGAAAAAGACAGAAAATATTACTTCCCAAATTAAATTGTTCATATATCACCCAACCATCTGCATTTCAGTCAATAAAATTACTGACAGTAATATAAAAACCTAAATAAATGTATAGGCTATTCAAAATCTGCATTTTGGATTGAAGATTGGGGATTTCTGCAGGCAAAGATTCTGTGTGGGCCTATTTGTATGTAATCCAGCAGGCTTAGTCTTTTTGGCTCAGTCCCTTTGTTAATCATGGGTCGATACATTGGAATGAACGGAGCGCATGCAACCCTATACAGGGAAACCAAGTACCACAACGCAGTACAGGGAAACAACCATAGACTCTTGCTTTCACACACATACACTACAGCCAATTTAGTTTATTTAATTCACCTATAGCGCATGTCTTTGGATTGTGGGGGTAAACAGAAAAACCTGGAGGAAACCCACGCCGACACGGGGAAACCATACAAACTCCATACAGAAATGCCAACTGACTCAGCCAAGGCTTGAACCAACAACCTTGCTGTGAGGCAACAGTGCCGTGCCACCATGCCGCCCCACACAACATCATAAGACATTAATATTAGGTTAGATTTAGGTTATGATGTCAATTGACTAAAATTCATGTCTAGCCATTGTCTAAGGATGTTATTTTGACGTCCAATAACAACTTCAAATGACGTTGATATTTGAGGAGTAATTACTGTAAACAAACATTTCACATGATATTATAACCCTTCATATTATTATTTGCAGACCTGTTCTGTTACACCAGTTCTGTTACAAGACCTGTTCTGTAACACCAGCTTATTAATGATTGTCTGAAAATTAACTTAATTTCTAGTTGGTTAAAGAGAATATTTTTAGAAACTGAACCTTTAAAGAATTTGAAATTTGACTATGAAAAACTAAAACAGTGTTTTCTAGCCTAATATACTGATACTTAGTTTCATCTATGTATGTTTTACATACATACAGTGTAGCCTATATTTTATATTATGTGGACACAAACCTCTGCAATGCCTTTATACACCACCAGAGGTCAGACTTATAGAAAAAACTAGTCTGAGCTGGCTTCCCAAGTAAATCATTATAAAACACATAGTATTACTTTCAAAATACATTTTAAATAAAGCTCACAAATTGCCTAAATGAATATATAAATTGCCTCAAAATATGTGGCAGACTAAAATCAGAGGATAGTATGATCTGGATGATTCTGGGTCAAGTTCAATATTGACACTGATCTGGCAAGGCGGAATAGATGATTGAGGCCATGTATGAAGAGTAACCAGGGTCAGTGGCTTTGCTTAAGATACTAATGAGACGCCTGCAAGACAGTGACCCCAAGGCAATAGATGTCTGTCTGGGTTACGAGAGAAGTGATGGAAGAGGAATTCAACTTTAATGTAGGAAAAAAAAAAAAAAAAAAAAATATATATATATATATATATATATATATATTGTTGAAGATTAATAAAAAAAAAGTGAAGTGTTTTTAAAGCATCAAAACTACAGTGCAACATACAACTTTACTTTGTTTGTTAGTTTTGTGTGTGTTTATAATAAAATAAAATAAAGACTACTGTACCATACATTTTACCATGATTTACAGTCATTCAGTGTATTCATTCATTAATTTTCTTTTCGGCTTAGTCCCTTTATTAATCAGGGCTCGCCACAGCGGAATGACCTGCCCATTTATACATCATATGTTTTACGCAGCGGATGCCCTTCCAGCCGCAACCAATCACTGGAAAACCCATATACTCTCATTCACACACATACACTAGACAATTTAGCTTACCCATTTCACCTAAATAGCGCATGTCTTTGGACTGTGGGGGACACCAGAGCACCCGAAAGAAACCCGCACAAACAAGGGGAGAACATGCAAACTCCACACAGAAATGCCAACTGACCCAGCCAAGGATCAAACCAGCACCCTTTTTGCTGTGAGGCAACAGCGCTACCCACTGCACCACCGCGCTGCCCCTTAATATATTAAAACATTCTATTTAAGGATCAAAGGATCAAAGAACAGCCCCATATATACTAAATAAATGTCATTTTCAATCTTAATACAATTATCCTTCAAACACATTTGTTAGTTTTTAGTCATTTAACATAAAATAATATTAAGTGTATTATATACCGAATAAATATGTTGCTTTAATATTTAGTTTGTATTTTAAATATGTTGATGATGGGACTTCATATCACCCATATTTCACAAATATTAAAAAATAGACATTATACATTGCATTCAATGTATGCTTAAATTAGGGCTGCACAATATATTATTTCAGCATCAATATCGCAATGTGTGCATTTGCAATAGTCACATCTCAGTATCTGCAATGTGGAGTTGGAATTATTATAGTTGATCAGCAATGAAGAATGAGCAATGTTTACATTTTACATGACATTTATTTAATAATAGGGGCAGGACAAAATAGCAACATGCATGAGGTCGCGCTTCTCGTAATAGTGGATTGAACATATATCAATGTTGCAATTCTAGGAAATGTATGTGCCGTTAATAAAAGGAATAGATCTTATAACTTTTTGATCCATTTTCCCTCTTCATTTACAATTGATATTTGTGATTGCTGATATTGTGATCTATCATTATCAAGGGTAAAATATCATGATAATATTGTATAGTATTGTATTACTGTACCTTAATATCTGACTACTTATTTCATCTTATTTATTTAATCTTGCAATTTCTTTGATTCACTCCTCTACAAGACTATTCCAATCAAAGATAATTATTTTATTCGAAATAGAGCTATTCAGGTCATCTGCCGAAATTATATTCATATCGTAATATAAATCACAGCAAAATAAAATATCGCAATGTCCGATTTTTCCAATATCATGCAGCCATATATATATTCAAAAATGTTATTCAAAAATTTGCATTTTTGCATCAAATTTAGCATCAAGCTGCTTTAAAAATAAGTGTGTGCATATTTATAAAAATAACTGGCAAAAAAGTCTAATCAAACATTCTGAATTTAAAGCCATAGTTTACCCAAAACTCAAAGGTTTGAAGGTTTGGAACCACTTGAGGGTGAGTATATACTATAGTGAGTACATTTTTGGATGAACTGTTCCTTTAAATTGTGTAGGCTGCATGCAGTACTACATCATTTTAATCCTGTCATTACATTTTTATTTTACAACTATTGAAATATTCAGTGAAGGTGGGTCTGCATTCACAACAAGATGGCGCTTGCAGATGGAGCGTGCAAACAGTGCTAATTATCACTAATATTAGGTTCTTAGCTAGGCATGGGACGATAACCATTTTCAAGGTATACCACGATTTAAAAAAGTCAATAGAATAGAATCAAGCAGAAAAGATCATTAAAGATTCCATTTTAAATGGTAAAAAAATCTGTGTTTTTGAAACTAATGAAGACAGTAGAAGTCAATGATTAATTTAAATGATTTAGCTTGACATATTTACTGCTCCAAAATA